TTCAAGTCTTATAATTTTACCACAGAGTACCTACTGAATAAAAATTACAAAATTCACAAAATTAAAATGTCTATAAATAGTTAAAAATCGGTTTAAATTTTTTAGAAAATTTTACCACGTCTAGAAAAGGCAAATATAATTTTTTTGTTCGAATTTCAAGTCTCTAAAAATATTTTTAACTGAATTACAACAAATAACAAAATTGAAAAATAATAAAAGCATTATTTTCGTAAATTTCCCGTTTTTCTTACGTTTTATCCTGGGTTTTCCTAGATATTATGAAAACCACTTTGAAAATCAAAAATACCATCTGGATAATATTATCTTTCAAAAATGATGCCATGTGTATATATCTGAGCATAATTTCTGGTGGAATTTTTGTACATTGTATATAAAAAAAAAAAAATAAAAAATATGTCTTAGTAAAACCAATACATTCTTTGCTATACTCAGAATATAAAAGTTATGTTCTATAATTTGGCTTATGCCTCCCTTTCTCAGAAAAATTCTCTGGATTTAACACTGATAACGATCCGATCATCTTTTGGCATAGATTCGCTCGCTGTATGAAGATTTGCAGGATATGCAAAATAATTATGAATGAAAAGAAGAGTATTGTAGATAAACATTTTATATCATTGTTTCAAACTTTTATTGGTTGGCCTGTATATTTGTTTCCTATTGTATCTGCTCCTAATTAATTTGTATACATATACTGTACAAGCAACGATAAATCAATGGTATCAAATTGGTAACGATTCTGATTGGACCTTTTGAGGTCAAATTTCCAGGATATTTTGTGAAGCACTTAAACCATCTATAATTTTGATCAAAACACTTATGCATAGGTACTTAGTAGTTACTTGATAAGAACTTGGTTTAGAGGGATTTGTTAAATCTCTTTTCCTGTTTTCGCCGTTGCCGGAGCTATATGAGTTTTTGTTAATTTGGTTTACCATTTTGCTTTTTATATCATTTTAATCTGCGAGAAAAACCCGAAATCGATAAACCGAAAAATAGTACATATTATTCCGTCTTGGTGTATTTTTTAAATCACCCAGGAAAACTATTGGCATTCTATAGTAGAACGTTTTGAATAAAAAGGATAGTTCGTGAAAATAAACATTTTCATGTAAGTACAATAACTTCTTCGCTGGCTCAGACTTTAAAACTAACACGGAAAATCTGTAGATTAGTCTCCAGTTTAAAACGAACCTGTTATTTTTAACATCGAACAAACTTAATAGATTGCTAGGATTTTTCTTTAGGGGGGGGTTGTATACGAAATGCGTACCTATACCTAGATAAGTATTCTTCGTGACAGCCAAATTGCGTCCACTGTTTTTTCGGCGATTGTTCCGAACTACATCCGTAAGAACAATATAGTTATTCTATTTATGTTTGGTGATAAAAGTACTCATAAATATTTGGGAATTAGTCAGCTTCTTATATTATCGCTTATCGATACCTGTAAATGCCACTTAAAACTGTATTGTTGGATTTAAAATTTGTTCATGTTAAAAAATCAATTACTCTGCGATAAACAAAGAAAATCATGAAATAATTAAAATAGTGTTTAATGAAAAAATTAAACAATTATATATACTAAAGGAAACAAGTTTGCTTTCCAAAAATTGTTAAATGGTAGTGTATAAATGGCGTTCGTGTTCAAAACGTAAATGATGTAAATGTTTTTTTTTTTTTTTTTTAAATTAAACGAAAATAATAATTCGGGACATTACTAGGTCCTGTCGTTGGGATCCCACGGATATAATTCGGACAAAATATCATTTTCGAAAACAATTTTGACGAGGGTTTTTTATAAGTTTAGAATGCTGATACTCAGGTTTCATATTAGATTTTCGTTCCTATACGCTTATACAAATTTGTATGTATAACGTACTTTTAATCACTCTAGTCTATAAGTAACTAAGCGATAATATTTCTTACGGTCTCGACCAACTCACAACGGTCAACAGTGTATGCACATTAATAACAATTAACAATAACAAGTTCAATGTGAAACAATCAGAAAGGCAAACTTCAGCACGTGCAGTTAGAATAAACAAAAATAGTATTATTCTATGGCGCATAGTAGTCAAATATTACACTAGTGAAGTTATGTCTATAGGCGATAAGATATATTAGTTCAACAAATAAAGATAACAAATTAAAATTAGATTAGTTGATTACAATTTTAGACTTTTTCAGCGACTTTCGTAAGTCATGAAATCATTTTTTAAATCTCTCAAAATTTCGCCACTGTGTTTACCAGTAAACAATTGATGTTCGATTTTCTTTTACAGTTATAATGGAACGTTTAGTTGTAAAGTCTGTGCCCAATTTTGGGTCCTCTCTAAAACATGCATTTTACAGCTTATATATATGATTATATTCATGCATTCTAAATGAAAATTATTGTAAATTATGCAAATCTGTTATATTTAAGACAGAGAACGAGTACCGTATGTATGCATTTTGTTTTATGTATACAGTATTTTATTTAGCATATACGAGTAAATGCATTTTTCCATTTTTTTTTTTTCATACTTATGATATTTGTTCATTACTCGACGACAACGGCTCGTAATCGAAACTATGATAACAACTGTGAATTATGATAAATTGTATATCATTTAAAACATACTTTTTACTTATCCATAATTTATACATATTTAATTATTACCTATAATTCTTATTTACATTCGAGCCATATATTTTGTTGTTGTATTTTTAAAAATTATTCTTGAACCTTTTGTGAATCTAAAAAAATCTCAAAATTATAAAAAACAAAATCGCTTACAGTTAATTTAAAGTGCATTTGTTGGGTATACTAATACATTAGCTGATGGTATTTTTTTGTTGTTCGGCTCCAAGTCGGAGATCCTACTTACGCGTGTATAACTATATTACAGTCTTAAGTTAAATTGGCCAGTCAATTGTAACCGCGCGCGTGCGATGACATACGCGGGAAAAGATTTTTATCGGATCCGTATAATAGTAAGTGCGCATCGGATTTTTTTTTTTGTTGAAAAAAATACATCCGGTCTCGTACATGTCTCCGTTGTCTTCCCCATACTTTCACTGGAGGTTCGAGTGAAACACATTTTAAAAGCGTGTATCACACACAATATTTTTACACGATAAAATAGTATTTCTATGGGAAAAACCGAATAGGTGCGTTACACCGGTACTCGCGTTCCATTAAAATTCCCCTACAAAATTGATTCTTTTTTCCTCCTTTGAAATGTTAATCTAGAGTCTCTGTACGCCCAACCGGTATTATTAATCCGTTTATCCTTCCTTCGCGTCCTAAACACGGATTATCTAAATAATGAGAATAACGCGCTGTGTGACTGCATTGTTTATTTCCTTCGTTCCCGAGGGGGCATCGTACATTTTCAAGGGGGTATGCCAAGGCCGGAGCCGAATTTAGGAATTTTTACACCCCGGGAAAAAGTTGAGAAAATACGCTCAATGAAATTTACCCCTCGAACACCCTGATACACACTATGTACGAGACAGGACAATTTAGACAATTCTTTTTTTTTTTTTTTAACTGTAATGTACTTAATCTAACTATAAACCACGATTATCTATTAGATAACCGTGCTATATACGGATGTTTTAAGTTATTTTTAATATTCTGTGGCATAACAACAACACATTAAATTGTTCAGAAGCAAAATATTTGTTTCTTTTCTATAATAAAAAATAGAAATCATAACCTTTGTCATGAAAAGAGTGTCGTGACCATATTTTTAACTGAGTGACTTTATCGTACTTTTTTTTTGGAAATGATGAATCCAATCGCACCTTATCGCGTTAATAATTTCGTTTTAATTTCAAATTAAGTAAATTTACTTTTACACCATATATGTAGTATAGGTATTTTTATTTTTATTTGTATCCAAGACATTTTTCGTGTAAATATAAAATTGTTTGTTTAGTAATTGTTTAGCGTGATCATTGATTAAATAGTCAATGTGTTTTTGATAGATGGTACAGTTATAATATTATCAGCTTTATCAGTTTGTTACTGGAGGTGACACACGGAACGCAATCAATTAAATTGACGTGACCGATTAAGCCAGATTTAAAAGATTGATTCAATTTTAACGATAATTTGTTTACCGAATACCTAATAGTTGACAATCAACAGCGCCCCTATCAAATATGCCAACCCCTTAAAAAATAATACGCCCCTAGGCAGCGTATGTCAATGTTTATAAATACCAGACACTTTAAATTGAAGTTCCTTCCAGTGATTTTCCTGTCATATTTTAATAATAATAAAAATAATAAATTAATAAAAAATAAATGAATGTTACCAATAATTTAAAATTTGACACTCGATATTAATACTCGATTTTTGATACCTTTGTTTTAAAATATAAATAAAATACAAATATTAATGTATGCACAATTAATAATATTTATTATTATGAAACGCAATTTAGAATTTAGATACAATAAGTTCAGGGTTTAATAGCGTATTTTAAACAAGAGATTGTAATTTCCTATACCCTAAACGCTAAAACCTAAATAAATTAAATATCTTAGTTTGTAAATAGTTGACAAAATATATTTAAAATTCAGTTATTATGTTTTGGATTCCGAGTTGAGCGAGGAATATATTGGTTTTGCTATTTACAGGGGCATAAACGTTTTCGACTAAAATCGTACCTTCTCTTTTCGGTCGAATCACTTTTTGGTCAAATTTAAAAAAAGGCAATTCCGTTTTTTCGACCAAAATCGTACCCTTCACTTTTCGGTCGATTCACTTCACTTATTATAGTATAGTAATTGCATTTGTTGGTATAATTTGAAAATGTCGTGACTAGACTTACTGAAAAATTTAAACAGAATATAATTCGTTTAATTTTAATAGTAGGTGTAATAAAATATAATTCTCTTTTATTATAATATACATAAATATTTTAAACTATAAGTAGGTATATATGTTAACATAAAAATATATAAATAAATAATTTCATATGCTTATTGAAAAGTATATGAATTCTACTTACTTATAGTAAAAGGAAAGGGTATGATTTTGGTCGAAAAGGGTCTCGCCTTTAAATATACTTTCAAGTAGAGATATTCAAGATATCTAATCACCCGTCTCTACTGAAAACTGTGGAACCCGGTAATCATGTACAAGTAACAACATTATGAGTATACCTAAAAAAGACCATTAGGAAGATCTAGGACTTGATGGATAGATGTTATGTAAACCAAAACACCGAAAGTATAAAAGAAAATGCGGCTTTTGACGAGACATACGACAGAGAGAATTAGTGAGTTTTTGTAGGTTCTCAACAGACCCATAAGCTGAGGAAGAAGAAGAAGAAGAAGAAGAAGAAGAATACCTATATTATAACGCACGAGATTTACGAAGTCACGAAAACTTTGTTCGCTACTGTACAATCCTTAAGCGACATAACATCACCGCGGTGTAATAATGAAAATAGAAAATGTGATACTTCGAATCATAATAACGAAGTTCACGCACTAAATATTTTCCGGATCCTTGAGAAATGCCCACACGTAGTGTAATTATTATTCGCGTTAATAATAAAAAAATATTATATATGGTGTATTTTAATTTCATTTCTCGTCTCGCGCGTGAGAGAATATAATACATAGACAAATGTATATAAATACAAAGCCTAAAAATTAAAATCGAATTAAGAGAATTTAAAATATACTATTTTTTTTTTTTTTTACACACATTTTAATATTAATTTTACTTTCGTAAAAAAAAAATATATATACATATGTATATATCAAAGTTCCAGAAACTTTTTAACGATTTTAAAATTCGAATATTTTTTAATACAAACATCAATACATATTTTGTAATATACATCTATTACTACATTATCGGTGCTGTATTCAGAGGGGAGAGAGTTTACTGAAGAGACACGTGTCCCCCTGGAATTTTTTTTTTTTTTATTAGTTATTGAGGATATACATTGACGTATTTTATCGTTCTAAAAATTGTAAGTTATAATAACAATGACGATCCCCACTCAGAATCGTTTTAGATTTCAATGCGTTATAATTGTTTTCCGTATATACATTAAATTACCCTACATCCTAGACCTTCTCGAATCCTCATATATTATATCAGTGGCCTAAATAACCTAATCTAACCACGGTGTACTTGAGTTTTTTATTAATAATAATATACTTTAGGTCCCAGGGAAATAGGGCTTAAGTTAACTTTTGGTATTTTAGATTTCGAACGTAACGTAGAATTGGTTTTGTTTCTACGGTTCCTGTGAATTTCGTGTTTTAATTTTTCGCACCCGAGTATAACTTACCATAAATCTTGCTCCAATCGAAAAATGACAATTTTTTCATCTTCAAAGTGGAGTAATTGGATGAAACCGAAAAATTACATATTGAAAAAAACAGATACATATTTACGGTGTCGTTGCGGCGTTAAGGATTTTATTATTTAAAGTTTTATCGATTTGGTTTTATCTACTGAAAATCTTTCACCGAATTTCAATTGTAGCATATTTTCCGGGAGAAAATCTTGTCTAGTTAACGTTTATATTGCAATTGTTTTTGATTTTACGTGTAGTTTTTTTAATAATTGGGAAAAAAACGTAGTGAACACGGAAAAGTTTACGGCTATAATTGTTTTCATTATTTTTTAGGTCATTGGGTTAAAAGTGCAAAATTAATGGAAGACGCTATTCACCCAAGTATGAAAATAAATCACGTTTTTGAAACAAATATGTATGAGAAGATGTATATACATTTGGATAGGTGATAGGTGTTACTACAGAACATATCGGGTATCATTTTCAAAAAGAAAAAATTAACCAAATTGTCAATAAAACTTCCAAAGATAATATTGAAAAACACACCATCAAAGTATTTGGTAGGTATTTCGCGGATGAAACAGACATTTTCCAAGCAGTTTTCATAATAATTGGGAAAACCCGGAAAAAGACGTAAAATTAAAACGAAAACGGCATACGATTTTATTATTTTAAATGTTTATGCCTTATGCCTTCTTATGTCTTCTTATGTTTTCTACCAGAAATGTTGCAACAGGTGATCTTTTTTGTTGTATTTTTATCTAATTGTTGAGTAAGGGAGTTAGTTTTTTGATATTCTAAACAGTTTTCATAATAATAGAAAAACAACGTAGATGGAACGGTAAAGATTACAGAAATAATGGTTTCATTATTTTCAATATTTTGTTGTAATTGATTAATGTTGTAATTCAGTTAAAAATATTCGTAGAGACTTGTCGTTTTGTCAGTAAACCAATACTTGCCTTTTTTAGACGTGGTAAAATTGTCAAGATATTTAACGATTTTTTTAAATCACTTATATTTGCAGGCATTTTATGTTTGTGAATAATGTTTTATTTGGTAGGTACTATGCGGATATGATTATTTAAATAAACTACAGCAATGCTTGAATATTTAATATACTAGGTCTATTATAAGTTGCACTTAATGGTGAAAAGAAAAATAGTGTGTAATGTCGTAATTTTTTCTTGATGGTTTTAAGACAACATTTTGATGAAAAATCATTTATAAAATAACTTCTGCTCAGAATCATTTTTCGTGAGCAATGGCTTATCGTTAATTATAGATATAAATTAAATAACTTTATGTGTCTTACCTTTCCAATTTCCCATATTCAACAGTATCAGCTCTTTTTTTTTAATGGATAGTTATCCATTAAACTGTGTTTGTATTTCAATTGCGTAATATTATTAAATGTATTAGTTTATTAGGTATTTAATTTTTAATATAAATAATACTAGAGAATTATTTAGATAGCAAACAAAACAATAACGGTCGATTACTGTTGTTTTAGTTTCATACGGCCACCTCTTATAGAATCTCCAGCATCAAATCTATCAATTATCGATAGGATATTAATTTTGAATATAATTTAAGACTGCTAAACTGTTCAATCTTCCTTGGCTTATCGTGGTTCTTAGGTACTTTTTTCATCACCCTAGAGCTAAGAAACTGCGTTCATTAGGTGTCTACATGTTTATAGTAATAGAGATAATATAACCTTATCAGTTATCACTGTGGAGAATCGAAGTCCTTAATTATTGGTTATCATATCATCAGCGTATTGAAAATTAGAGTAATCCCGCCGTTATTTTTATAAAACATTAAAGTGATCCGTGATTTAAATGTGTTAGTTTAAATTCCATTACATTAATTGTGTCTCCTATAAAATATAATATTTCTGACTAATGTCTGCGATTGCAAAATGATACTGTTGCGTCCACAGAAAAATTGTCCGTGGGTGCAAGTGCGCTCTCAGTGCCCCCGACATATACCGTCACTGCAGGATTTATTATTATTATTTGTTTTATATTTTCGTACAACGAAATTTTTTTCCTTTGATTCCATAAGTGTACCTACGTATTTTCAAAACCTATGCATGCAGTGTTTAACAGTGACGGTTATAATCGACTCAGTGTTCTAAAATTCAATTCACACAATCATTACCATGATTAATACTCTTTTATGATTATTTATGATAAACAAAAAACGTACTAGGAGGGAGGGAGGAGGAGGTGATCCGTCTATCTTCCCTCTAATAATCGCCACTATATTCATTTCCGAAACTCGAGTTCGGTTGTATTGAACGTTATAGGAAATTTACTCGAGCTCTTCTTCCCCGGGTCCGACGATACAGCGTTTTGCTACATTGACTGTACGTGCGGTTGAAAAACCGAAACGGCTTTCTTCTCGGACGGGCGTCGTCGTCGTCGTCGTCAAATTCACGCGGGCACGTTAGGCGTTTACCGGGTTTCCGGCGACTAGGTTACTCTCTTAATCGCGGGGCATGGTCTGATAACCCGAATCGCAATTAAGACGGTCGGTCCGGTCGAAGGGAGCGGCGCAACGGTCCGCGAAAAACGGCGTTCTGCCTTTCTACCGCAGCCGCGCGCGCGTGTATGTGTGTGTGTGTGTATGTGTGTGTGTGTGTGTGTGCGCACCAATTGGTCGCCCCACCGCCGTCACCGTCCTGTCCGCCGGCCAGGGATCTCGCCGTCGTTGCCGACGCCTCCTACGCGTCCGTGGTTTCTCCTCGGTCGCGCGCGTATATAAGCTCCCGGGCGCCCAGTCGGTATCATCACAAACGCACCGACCACAGTCACGTCCGCTCATACCCGCGCAAACACAACGCGACCTCATACATTATCATAATAATATAATAGTGTAACACTATTACCGCGTACAGTATTCACCTATACAATATAACAAACATGTCGTCCGCAGTGTTCCGTCGGGTTTCGTTCGTCTGCGCCGCCGTCGCCTTGGCCACAGCCGCCGGTCTCGCCTCCGCCTCGCCGGCGCAGCAACAGCAAGAGGACGCGGGCGGCGCCGCGGGTTTGGGCACGGTCTTGTGGTCGGTGCTGGACAACTGCTTCGACCCGGACTCGACCGAACCGGCCGCGGTCTGCCTCAAGCTGAAGGCGCTGACCGCGCTGGACCGCGCGCTGGCTAAGCCCAACGTGGCCATCGTGGACGGCGTGTCGCTGGCCGCCCGGGCCGGCAAGTCCCTGACCGAACCGCACACTGAGAAGGCCGACCGCGCCGCCCTGGACGCTGCCAAGGACCCGGAGCACAAGAACGCGCTGTTGGACGACATGCTCGTCGGCCGCATGGACAAACTCGTGTCCACCAGGACCATCGTGTTGGACGGACAAGAAGGTGAGCCCGCGTGATAGTAATTTTTTCCGGCACACAGTATCAGGCACTTTTTTCTTCTTTTTTTTTTCTTCAAAAATAATGTACGAGTTTGTTTCCGAATCGGTGTTGCCAATCATCATTCGTATATACGTATGAATTCGAATTGTGTTTGCAATAGAATTTGAATTTCAAAAACATTAGACGTTCCCCCTTATAGAAACGTACCGAAAACGAAATTGACCGAAATAATTCAACCGCTCGCTGTTTACATGGAGACGATATTATATACGTATGACTGGTATACCGTATGGCACGTATTATGATGCGTTCCGTGTAAACACGGAAATCGTGCAGGTTCCCCGTCCTGTTATTTCGTTGTTAGTTTATCGCGGGCGGAAATCTCGTACCATCGTCGCCACCGTCGATGTTACCGTCGCCGCGGTAACGTCGGTAACCGCGCACGATTGGGATCGTAATCTCCGATGAAAATTCTCGCGTTTATGATGTTGCCGACCGGCGGTGGCGGCAGCGCACGATTTGCACTTTGCGCTGCAATCGAGCAGATCGCGCGCGCGTTGATTTTCGACAAAAAAAAAATTCGACCCGTCTGCTCTTCTGCTAAATTTTTTTTTTTCAATTTTCGAAGCGGTAAGCCGCGAGCGTATGTCGTTTTCACTGTCGCATCAAACCGACTGCCGGGACGACGGCGTTCTGTCCGGTTCCGCGTACCGCAGACTTCCAAACGTTTCGATCGTTTCTGTTATTTTTCTTTTGAAACGGCACCGCCGCGTCTTCGCGTCGTCGGTCGCAAAACTCTTTTCCCCGCGCGGACGATTGACAGAGACAGTTGGTAATTTTTCTCGTTTTCCGCAGGTCGGGGCAAGAAGAAGGAACAGAAGGCCATACAACAAGCCATGATGATGGCCGGTATGATGGCCGCCGCGGTCATGGGCCCGATGGCGTTCAAGATCGTCGCGCTGATGGCCGGTAAGGCGTTGTTGATCAGCAAAATCGCTCTGGTCCTGTCCGGTATCATAGCGCTGAAGAAACTCCTTCAGCCCCAACAAGGCGGCCACGAAACCGAGTCGGTGTCCCATCATTACGGCCGCAGCCTGAACTTGGACGCTCACGACATCGCGTACGCGGGTCAAAAGCAATAATTGACGCCGCCGGAATCGCAAGACTATTACCTATATAATACCTAATTTATTTATTATCATATTTATTCGTTTGAACATATTTTTAGCCAACAGGTTTAATTATAATAAAATATTATAAATATTTATTTTATTTATTAGTATATATTGATGTACTTTTTATTTTATTGATTTATATAAATATAAAGAATCACAGATCTGAACTGAAAAAAAAAGTTTACGAACTCAACGGTATTCAGGTTTTTGTTTGTTTCGGTTTTTGTTAAGCTGTTAATAGTTCAACGAGGGGCGACTTGTATTAACGAATAGACTCGCATCAAATAAATATTTAAGTTTAAAAAAACTAATAGCCCATTATAGCTAACTAATTTCCATCGATCTGTAGCTCAGTGGCGTTCTCAAGGCGGGCGATGTGGGTAATACAAACCACCCCTCAAATAAGTTAGGTTGGGTTAGGAATCGTTTTTATTTTTCGCAACATTTTGTTATATTCAATGATCATGATAACGAGTACTGTTAAGTTAAGATGGGCCGTGCTACTTTGTTGTGTATGCCACGCAAAGGCTTAACGCATGCAACAGATATTTTTGGGTTTTCAAATGAATAAATATCGATTCCTTTTATAGAGAAACTAATAAAACAATCCACTCTTTTGTTGACCACGATAAAGAGTACTGGATGGGATAAAATTATAACATTGTCCTACTATTTTGAAAGAGATGATTTACCGCCCCCGAATATCTCGGTCAGTGGTCTGTCTCTAACACTGGGACAACCAGGGCATATCCAACCGGGCTATAGCCGTGTAGGCTCCTTAGTGAAAATTGACAAAATATCATACTTAAATCGAACACAACTCATATCAAAAAAATCAACAAACGTACACACAGAGTTTGCTAAAAATAAAGCTATAAGGAAAAAAGTATCAGCTGCTAAATTAGTTTTATAATTGGGTACAGAAAAAAATGCTAACGATCTCTTTGAATGCACTGGAATATGCAATCCAACTTGAAATAATAAATCAGGACAGTCGATATTATAATTAATGAGGTCATAAATGAACATTATATCTGCAACTTTACACCTAATTTCACACGTATCAAGTCCAATTGAGTCCGCAATCAAAGAATACGAATCCTTAGACATAGTTAGCTTCATTTTAAAAGCCAAGGATTTTAAATATTTTAATTGTAAATTTAAATTTTAGAAATATGAATAGAATAGTTTGGAGACCAAATTTGTGAACCAAACTCTAAGTGAGATCCAACCCAAAGAACAATATAGAGATTTTAAGCAAAATGTATTATTAAATTGAACGGCACTTCTATTTAAAAAAAAAACCAAGTATTTTGAAGGCTTTTTTGATAATTATATTAATATGAAAACTAAAAGTAAAATCAGAATAAAAAAAAATACCCAAATTACTAATAGTAGACACTTTATTTAACTGAATACTAGAAATATTATAGTGAAATTAATCGGATTATTATTACGAACAAATTCTATTGTAATACACTTAGTATTTCTCTAATATTCAAAGGGAGAAAATTTAATGTACTCCAATCAACAAAATGATTTAATTTTTTTCGTAAAAATATACAATCATCGAGTGAACAAATATTAGTATACAATTTTGTATTTTCAGCAAACCATTAAACCTTAATACTATTATCAAATGTTGAAGGTAAATCATTAATGAAGATTAGGAATAATAACGGACCAAACTGAGAGTCTTGAGGAATCTCAGTGTAAGCAATAGAATCTCCAAAAAAAAGAATTCAATAATTTAACTTATTGCGTACGAAAATGCAAATAAAACTTAACCTACTTTAAAAATACACCATGGACACTATAATAATTTAATTTAATTAACAAAAGTTGATGGTCAGCTTTATCGAATGCCTTTTTAAAATCTGTGTATATTATTAGTTAAGTTATTAGTTATAATTGAATATTTAGAACAAAATCCATGCTAGCAATTGGATAATGAACTATTAATTTAAGTTGATAGTTTAGAATAATAATATTTAATATAAGAATATTATAAATAATAATATTTTTAACAATATCATTTTAAATTTTCAACTAATAATTATTACAACATCGAAGAGACGAATTTTTACATTCTTTTCTAAGATTAAAAAAAAAAATAGTAATCATTATAATTTTTACTGATTTTGTATTTCTTATGGGTAATTTTTTTAAATTAATCAAATTACGAAATTTAAGATTAGCCCAAACTGCAGAATAATTTGAATCGATACGTATTTTAGGAACAAATAATTGAATTGCATGATTAATGATTTCATACAACTTTTCTACAGCTTTTCTTGGATTTAGATCCAATTCAACAGACTTAAAATGTTCTAAAAAATACATTTTACTAAGGAAAGTACAAAGATTATAAAAATTATATTTATTAATATTAAATAGTTTTGCTATATTGGAGTTTGAATCAGTAGTCGGTATAGTATGATTAAATGAAAATTTGACAGGTGGATGAAATTTATCCCGAAGAAAAATATGGGATTCGCCATTCATTAAAGAATCTAATTCTAAATTAGAAAATATTAAGTCTAAAGTACGACTAGAGTAATTGAAAATATTATTAAACTGTTTTAAATCTAGATAGCAATTAACAATAATTAATTAACAATAATTTCACCATTATTATGATTTCGACAGAAAACATCATCATTCAAATCAATGTCAATCAAATTAAAGTCCCTCAACATAAGTAAGTGAGCATTTGTATGCTGCAGTACTAAATCTTCCAAAATAACACAAAATTCTGAATAAAAATTAGAATTACAGCTTGATGCAATATAAACACACTAATATATACCAGATACAAGATATACATGTATATTGGTATATACAAGATTATTATAATTAATTTTAACATAAACAAATTCAATATCGAAAAATGATGGTAGAACAATTTGTTCACAAATATAACAATTATTTACAGCAATCAAGACATTCCCATCTCTTAAGGAAGTATCAGCAACTTTATCAGATCTAAATACATTAAAATTTATCAAATCTAATTCACAATTATTAAAATCAGAATTAAGCCATGTTTCAATTAAAAACAAAAGCTCACAGGACAAAGATGAAACCGCTGAACGAAAATATGGTAGTTTTGTCCTTAAACCTCTCACATTTGAATAGATGACATTTATTGTAAAAAATATTGACTTTGAAGAACTGGTGACTCCTTAATAATAGATGAATGCTTTTAATGAATTTAATTGAAATACCAACTTCACCATTAGATTTCCGGGTAGAAAGATCATCGTGAAGTTAACACATTAAATCCCTTCGATAAACAGTTCTATCTGTACTAATACTGACCGATGACAGAGGAGTTAAATTTGATAATTTTTTCTTATTTTTAATAATATCAAACTTTTCGATTATAGCACTAAATGTAACATGCATCGAATATTTTGAATTTAATTTATCAACTTCAACCAACTCGGCTTTTGTATTAGACGTTTTAGATCAGGAATCTTTTTAAGGCCAAGATCACAAGCTATACAAAAATACTTTAAAATACGATTCTTTGCAGACAAACATTTAATTTCGATAAAAGAGAGTTTAGAACATTTATTATGAAACGGGAGCTGGCAACCGTTACATTTTTTAGGAACATCGATATCCTCAAAAACCAAATCACAAATTGAGTACTTTCCGGACATCACAAAGTAAATCAATTAAAATGAAACGTAATAGGTAATAAACACTAGATAAGACGACATAATAAAAGTACGACCATATTTGACGAGCGCGAATCGATAACTGTTTTCTCGTGTTTTTTCCCGGTTTTTCACATTTGCTGGGAAAACTCCTGAGAAAATCGAAAATCTACCTCTCTAAAGTACCTCTTCAGTCAAATTTCCTTTTAGAAACATATTGCTATCATTATTTATTTATTTAATAACTATACACCTCGGAGGGCATTGGTAAAAAAAATACACTAGTGTAGATATAAAGGTTGATAACTGGTTGCGAAAGTAAGTGAACAAAGCTGGGTAAAGTGGTAGGATTAAGTTTGGTTGAGCAAGCGTAACATTCTGTGGAGAGGTTAGTTATGATTATACAAGGATAGATGAGTGAGACCAGAGAAAAAAGAATGGTGTCTCGTAGAGTGTGAAGGAATACGAAGTGAAACAGTGGCTAATAAATCGGGAGAGTCAATAGTACAGTTGAGAAGTAAGTTGATGAACATGAAGTTAGCGGTGTCACGGCGTGAGGACAGATTAGGAATATTGAGAGTAGAGCGGATAAGGGTGTAGTCATGAGGTGCGTGTTAAGGATACCAAATGACCGACCCATACTCAAAGATGGAATGTACGAAGCTGGAATAGAGAGCTCGGAGACAGGTGGCAGTGGCTGTGTTGCGCTTGATGAAGCCGAGGATCTTGGAGCACTTTTCAACAGTAACATTGATGTGGTGTTTGAAAGGGGAGTTTGTAATTTGCATCGAAATAAAGGTATTTGTACCAGCGTAGGTAGTTGAAAATAGTGTTTGTAGTTTGCACCAAAATAAGTATCTATGTATTCGATTGTCAAGTGGCTATTCGATTGATCCACAGTGGTATAATTGACAATTTTAGATGACCTAAACTACTATTTTTGAAAATCCAAAAATTATTGTTTTCTTTAAAATAAGTGTTTATATTTAGAATATTCTGTTTCTAAAGAATGAATTTATTAATATACACTCGGTTTATAAAACTTTATTATTACATTATTTGATTGACATTTTGAAACTTGCATCATTTTTTATGCTATTCCATTTTCTCACTTAAAATGATAAAATATATATATATTTTATTCCCGGGCTTCTTGGCTACCCGCCATCTTATCTGGTAATCATTTTAAAACTTGACGTTTGATTATCCGTCGTAATCGCATAATTTATTATTTCGACCAAATAATAATCTAATAGTCTTTCTGACTTTTCATTTGTAGCATACAAATACTAAATTATATTTTTGGCCAAAATAATACAATTATTATTATTGTTTATATTGTTTATACATATATAGTTTTTAGTCAATATACTGACGTACCGTAAAACGGTGTAAATAGATAAGTGGAATAACCACTCAAAATCGAAACGGAATATTATGTGCCTTTAACTTTTCATATATTAATATATTATACTCTAATATCGAAACTGCGTAGATACAATACTATCGAAAGAATAATCGATTTGAATTTCAAATCCAAGTTAAGGAGTAAGTTAAGTTATTGAGTTCAAACAAAGAAGGCATCCAGTTCAGCTTGTAATTAATTAGAGGAAATCAGTGGGAGATGCTATTTTACAAAAAAAATTTAATGTTATCAGCAAATAAGAGAACATTAGCAAAAGAGAAACATTTATTTATTGAATTAACAAAAATGATAAAAAATAGTTGGACTTAGGTGACCTCCCTGAGGAACACCAGAGGAAACAACTGATAACTCCAAAACGGCTCCGTTTAGGGTAACATATTGTCTACGAGATGTTAAATAGGACAATATCCAGGAGATAAGCGGATGGTCGATACTGAGGGAGTTAAGTGTGGCAATGAGGATCTACTGAATAAAACGCCTTTTTGAAGTCTGTGAAAATTGTGTCAACTTGACTATTAGCTTTAAAACTGTTTAGTATGTAGGTGGTGAAGGAAATGATGCTGGTGATGGTAGACTTACCAGGACGGAAACCATGCTGAGAATCTATAATTATGTGGTGTAGAATTATTTTGATACAAGAATAAAACTGGAGCAAATCTGATGGTAGACAAGTTGTCCGCAGAAAAAATAAAATAAAATAAACATCTTTGTAAAACCATAAGCTTTTTCGCTCCATTGAGAATCTAAAAAACACTATTGCAGGTATAGTTTATTCTTCGTTACACTCAGAATCTAAAATTAATGATGATTATTTTATAAAGTACCGTAACACAAGTCTTACACCGTTTACAGAACTCGCGTTTACTCGTCGGTTGTCTAATTAATTATTCCGCATGACCTAAACGGCCAAGTCTGCGTATACTTTTCGCGTTTCCCATAAACTTCTTCTCAGGTAGGTATATAATTATGGGTCCGATGTACGAATAATCGTCGGCATAAAATACATAAAATTTTTATATTATTTTCTGTCTGTCGTGTTAAATAATAATAATAATTTTGAATCATATTTAAAAAACCGGGAAGATATAATACATAAAGTTCTTTAATTTAAAGTTGTGAGCAACGATAAACGGAAAACGATTCTGAGCACTTAAATTTTTGAAATGACGTAATTTTTACGAGTTTCATCAACATTCGGTCATTTATCACGCAGAAAAAAAGAACTATATCTCGCTCATTGCTTAACATATTTTCAACCACTATAAGTACAATTATTAACTTCTATAGTGAAACACATTCAATTTTTAAGAAATTCCGTACGGCCAAACAATTTTATCAGCGTGATACCTACCTAATAAGAACTATAAAAACAAGTGCCTTTAAATAGCACGTAAATTTCAAAAATTTACCATGCCCAGAAAAGTCCAATATAAATATTCTGTGAACATTTCAAGGTTCAACTAATATTTTTAGTTTTCCTACTTTTTTTCCCGGTTTTCCAAATTACTATAGAAACTGCTTAGAAAATAAAAGAATGCTTTCTTTACACAACAATTAGACAACATTTTCTGTCAGAAAAGATGATATCCTTGATATATGGGGTAAAATGTCTGTTATAAATCAAAAATCGAAAACATTTTAGATTCTGAGTGGAACGAGTTTTGGTTTTACAATGATAACGATTATTATTTTGTATTCTGTTAATATTTTCTACCAGCATTTTCACTCTGATTTTAAAGTATAGCACTTTTTCTGAAAAAAAATCTGATTAGTGTGATACTTTATAGGGAGGTCATTTTTTGATATTCCCAGGAGTTTTCCTCATAAATTGGGAAAAACGGGAAAATGTACGAAATTTATTAGTATATTTACTAATAAATTTCGTAATTAATTTCGTATTAATAATAGAAAAGTTTTTCTGAGAACAAATTTTCTATTATTAATTTTGATCCGATATTCAAGTGTAGCAAAAGAGGTAAGTTTTTGATTTTCCCAGGAGTTTTCTTAATAAATGAGAAAACCTGGTATAATAAATCATTGTTTTCGTAAATTGTCCAGTTCTTCTACGCTTTGCTGGATTTTATTAATTATTATGAAAACTACTTTGAAAATCAAAAAATGATCTCCTTCAGGAACTATTCCAGTCAGATTTGATTCCAAAAAAGTGCTATAATTGAAAATCGGATCAAAATTGCCAGTAGAAAAGTTGTCAGGAAAAAAAAAATTATCATTATAATACCGATTTTAATACTATTTGTAAACCAATTTTAGATTGTATCTGAAATAAAATACAGATAATTCGGTTAAAACGCATAAACATACTTTTATGTATTCGAAAATGTTTTTTTTTTTTTCATTCGATTAGCTACATTTGAAAATTTACATAGTATAATAAGTATACCTATGCTGAAAACAGATATTGTATAGAACTGAGACGTTCTCAGACCTCAGTATATTATGACGTGTTTAACTAGATTTTCGTTTCGTTCTCACACTTTCGTCGGTCTAGTTTACCGTATTTGTTTTCACGAAATGTGTGATCATCACGTGTTCACCCAGGTTTATGTTGGACATTATGATACAAACATATAAAATATCATACAAAGACTCGAGACTTTGCTCTCCCCTAAAAAAAAAAAAAAAAAAAAACACTCAATGATGCGCTCAAACATTTCGGATTTATTATTATGCAGTTAAATTAATTTCATTTAGTAAGCGGGCGGTTGAAAGAGATTCGTATTTTAATACGTTTAACCGTAGTTAAATTAACACATTTTTCAGTTGTCCAATTTTCGTTTTGACATATGATTTGATCTATCGTATACTTCTAACGTACTTCTTTTCCACCTTTTGTTGGGAGAAAATTTTAATTTTTGTTTTTTTTTCTTCGCGACACTTAAATACGAGTTAATTTTAAGGAAAAATGAAAACCGACAGAATCTGCTGGAAGCGACGATAAATCATTACAGTCGAAACGTAATTTCGATTGGAGCTCGGCTGAAATATAGTCGGTTGTTGGGTATGTCTTTTTCATGTGTATAATTACTTATTATACTTTTATAAATTCTATAGTAAAAATCAATAAACTACCTCCCTAAAGTACTTTTCCAGTCAGATTTCCTTTTTTAAAAAAAGTGCTATCATTGTAAATCTAGCAAAATAGCTGGCAGAAAAGTTGTCTACAGAAGAAAAAATATGCATCCCTCGCTCCACTCAGAATATAAAACGACGGCATAAAATGTGTGTAAACGATCAAAATTACAATCACAAATTCTGCTCAATTATTTAATAGACAAAAACTGGGTATACAAATCTAAAGTGAAATGATTTAAACTTTTAAGTTGCGTAACAACGACCGAAATCAATATTTTTATCCGACCAATGGTAATAAGGAAGGCCCGGATTTCAATGCAAAATGCAACTTGTGATATTAGACAACGCTTTTCAAGTATATAATTTCATTCGTGTAACAGAGCCTTCAAAAGTGAAACTTATTTTTGCATTTTTCAATGTTTTTTCATTTTTAGAGCATTTTTCGGTTTTTTTTTTTTTCATTTGATTGTATAAATTTATACAATATACAAGTATAATATTATAATATATAGTATTTGTACATAATACGACCATCGATTAAATATACCCATGACTAAGATTAATTCAAAATATTACCCATGTTTTTCGAGGTTCCAGTCACTCAGTCGATACTATCGTCGCTATTCACAAGTCAAATTTTTTTTTTCAAATGAATTAAAAATATTATAAATTACCCGATAAAACGAAAAATTTCAAAAATGTATACGTCAATTTTTCAAGGGCATTTTTGGCGTAAAATGCATTTTTTAAACGCACTTAGAGCTTTTATTTTTTTTTTTCAGAACATTATTCGACGACTTTTAGTGCGATCCGGGCCCTCTAGTAATAAGTCGCAGTTGATGGTCCTATAAAAAGTCTGTGAAAAACAGAAAGGAAATTGTCGTTTTCACGTCGGGGCGCAATTCGTATGAGAACGGAATTCTTGGGACGTGATTCGTTTGCTACGGGAAAATGCACACATCGACGTGAACATTCGTTTTTACTGTCGCGAAAACCGACAGTGTTTTCGTCCCGCGGAATAGCGCGCGGTAAGCGTAATCGGTTTTGTCCCGATTGTTCTCCTGCAGCGGGTCAAGTCTTGCCGAATAACTCGGCACAATACACTCATACTATAGTACAACGGGCGAATTGTTATTATAACGAACCGAATCGTTCGACCCGTCCGTGTACCGTCCGGTAACAAATTATGTGTACCCGACTTTCTAATACAGTATTATTCTGGAAACCCGAAAACATAACGATCGACATCGATTCACCGCGTTTAAGTGTGTGTGTGTTTGCTATAGTCCGAGCTTCGGACGGCATGCAACGTACACTGTAATGTACACCGTTCCAATTGATGTTCGCGAAAGATCTTTAGTAAACTAATTAAATACGGGTGTAGTACGTAAAAATTTATAATAAACGCGCGTAGCCAGCCGTATCTTCGACGGAGTAAAGATAACATCGTGTTTACGATCGCGGTAATTATTTCACGGGCCTCTGCGGATCGTGCGCGTGCGCACGCGCCCGTTTACTACGGGCTATATATAAGCTCCCGGCCGGCCAGTGGTGATCATCACATCCCGACGGACCGCAGTCGACGCCACACACACGCATCCCACGGTCATCCGTTCCGTTTATTTTTTTCGTACGGCCGCCAGTCACCATCAGCCATGTCTTCCCCGTCAGCAGTCCGCGGAGTCTCTTCCGTTTGCGCCGTAGTCGCCGCCATGGCCTGTGCCGCCGCCGTCGTCGGGCCGGTCTCCGCGCTCCCGGCGCCCGCACAACAGCAACCGCAGCAGCAAGACGCCGTCGGCTTGGGCACGGTCCTGTGGTCGGTGGTGGACGGCTGCTTCGACGCGGATTCCGCCGAACCGACCGCGGTGTGCCTCAAGTCCAAAGCGCTGACCGCCCTGGACCGGGCGCTCGCCAAGCCCACCGTGACCATCGCGGGCGGCGTGTCGCTGGCGTCCCGCGCCGGAAAATCGCTGGCCGACCCGTCAACCGAAAAAGCCGACCGCGCCGCCTTGGACGCCGCCAAGGACCCGGAACACAAGAGCGCGATGTTGGACGACATGCTCGCCAACCGCGTGGACATGCTCATGGCCACCAAGAGCATCGTGCTGGACGGATTAGCCGTGCAAGAAGGTGAGCTATTGTTCGGGTTGGTTAATGTGTCCGCCCGCTGCAGCTGTTCACACGCCGCCGGCGACGATACGTTTTTTTTATGACAGACCTATGGCACGTATACGTTCGGCGCGTGATAAACAGTTTGCCGGTTTTTTTTTTTTGTTTTTTTCCAATCCGATTCGAAAATCGGCTATATTCTCCGGCGAACCTCCCGGAACTCGGTCACATTATACCGGTGGTTTTCGAGCTTTTTTTTTTTTTTTTAACAAAATTGACGAGTCACAATCAAAAGAGTTACATTTTTATGGAAAACAAAAGACCGCGGCGCGCACATAGTGAATGTTCGCGGCACCCAATTTGAAAACCACAGGCGTACACACCTGTGCGATTACGACGGCCAATACGAATACGGTAAAAGGTACGCGGCGTGAGTGGTTCGATTATCGCCGCCTCGCGTTGTCTGCCTCGCTAGTGAATGTCCGACGCGGTCAGGATTGGAGAGAAAAATACAAATAAAGTCACGTTCGATTAGGTTGTAACAATCGTTTCGATCGCGGTAAAACAAATAACCACGCGATATTCGTATCCGCGCCCCCTCCCCCCCTTCCCCCTCCCATACCCCCGTGAGAAGAGCCCGACCGTTATCCAAACGGAACTGATCAGCAACCGTCTATCACTGTAACCGATATGCGTTTGTTTTTTCCGGCAGGTCGGAGCAAGAAAAAGGAGCAGAAGGCGTTCCAAATGGCCATAATGATGGCCGGCATGACGGCCGTCGCGGTCATGGGGCCGATGGCGTTCGGTTTCATCGCCATGCTGGCCGCCAAGGCGTTGCTGATCAGCAAGATCGCCCTGGTCTTGTCCGGCATCATAGCGCTCAAGAAACTCCTCCAGCCGCAACAGGGCGGCCACGAGACCGAGGCGGTCCAGGTGTCGTCTTCGCACCATTACGGCCGCAGCATGAACCTGGACGCTCACGACATGGCGTACTCGGGTCAACTGCAGCAATAGACCGTCGATAATTATTATTTATTTATTATTTATTCGTGTACTCATACGTTATATTTATGTACCCAATTATTATCATAATAATCTTATCCGACGCCGAATTCGTGTTTCAATTGCATTCACTAACAATTGTACAGAAAACATATAATAATATATTATTTATTTACTCTTAATTTATCGTATTGTATTTGCATTTTTACTTAGATCCTAGTTTTCATCAATTGTTTGTGATTTTTTTTTTTTTTTTATTATACAATGTTTAATGTGTTAATTTTAAAATCGCTTTCAAGACAAATTTGATACGATTAGGTTACGACTATCACTGCGTTATCGCTTTTCTAGCGATGAGATTAGTAATATTATAAACTGCTAACCTGCAGGTAACCATGTGATTAATAGACCGTTCATTCAACTAAAATGGGTCCCCGCAATTGTTTTTACTGGTACAACACATTTTATCAATAAATAAACTGTCTTTAAATTTTTAATGCGACCCAGCTTACCGAGCACAAAACTACTATGGTCTATGACATTACGATAACGTTTACACATTAGGTATATAGTATCAGAACCGTTTTTTATTTTAAAAAAAGACGTTTAACATTTTTACCTGTAGTTCAGATCAGTCAAGTGCATTTACTACATCAAAATTCATAGTATACAAATACACATTTGAGAAAGATAATAGTATTATCATTATTTGTTATTCATTATTTCATTTCAATTCCTTTCTATTTTTATCTACCGAAATTTTTAAGCAAAATAGATATGTTTAGAAACTGAAAAACATATTGTTTTTTTTTTCAGCTGGTTAGAAATTAAATCATTTTCACTACTTTAATCCGTATTTTATAATTTGCATAGATAAAACCAAAAATTAATGTTGTTGTTAATATTCGGATGAAAATCGGAGCAAGTTCTCTGGTAGAAAAGTTGTCCACAGAAAAAAAAAATAAAATAAACACCTTTGTAAAATCATAAGCTTCTTCGGTTCACTCAGAATTTAAAATACTCATCTATTACTTTTATACCTATTACTTTTTTTTTAAATAATTTTTTTATGTAATAGAAAAAGCTTTACTGAAAATTATCTAACTCTTTTTATTTTTATTCTTTTGTTTTTTCAACGAACTAGGTAGTTGTATATTTTCTCATTTTTTTATGAACATTCTTTATACCTTTGATACACTATAAAACTAAATATTTTGAATATATTTCTGAGTTTCTAATTACTTTTAACTAGTCTTGCAATAATTTCTTAAATTTAATAATATTAGAAGTGCTAACGCAAATGTTGATAACTTGTGGTTATCATTTGAAAACTATGTTAATTTTCTATTGTTCCAATAGTTAAAACAATAGAACTAGTGTTAATGTACATTATCAATTTGTCTAAATGTTTTTAATGTAGTAGTTATCAATTATTTTTCAGGAAAAATTCGTTAACATTTTAATTAACGTGTCTCCTGATCGTCATCCACATTTTCTTACGCGGAAAGGTAAAGTTCAAATACGTGCATAGCATAATGGGTGTTTCCATTATTCTCCCCCCCCCCTCCTGTTTGCGATTTTAGTGGAGTATTTATAAAAGGCTCTGAATTTCTGTTTTACACGCGAAAAATAAAATTATTGCTATAGTAAAAGTCTTGGTAATTTCATTACAATAATGATTAGTGATTGCAGTCATTTCATCGATTGTTTGTGTATCTACTAAATGTTTATAGGAACAGCGTATCACAACTAATGCGAATTGTGAATACGATTCATGTAACAATTAGTACTATAAAAAGTATTGTGAATTGATTTCAGAATATTTCTTTAAACTTGTTTAATCAATTTTCAAAAGATTATTTGTGTTATAATTATATTATTTTTTTTATATTAGAATTAAATGAACTCATTTAATTCTTAAATATGAATATATGATTATAAATCGTAATTATTATTTATTGCTTATCTAGTTAAAAATTAAACCCGTATTGCATACGTTGCTCACTGGTAAAAAGAATAGATGCCAAAATAGATATTCTTAAAATGATCGACGAACGTGTAAGATATAATTTTATTTAATAAAACTTACTTGGTCGGCGAATATTAATAATAATTAATATTAATTTACATATTGTGTATTTTCTTAGAAAAATGGAAATGCTAAGACCGGACAGACGGCCATTGCGCTCGTGAGTAATTGGTCTACGAGGATTAAATAACATATCCTCGTAAATATATTACGGTGGTTTCAAACATATTTCGTGCCTGTTCAATTTTCCAAACCCGACAGTTCCATTTCAGATTTGGTAATTTTGTACGCGGACTATAATAGGCTACACGGAGCATAGCGTTGTGAAATGTATGAATCATTTATGTACGATTGAAGAACGGCACCTACGTAATTATATTATTTTCAGAGCATAATTTAAATTACTGTTTTGAAAATAACTATGAATCACAATAATGACAATTATAAGTATATTATTTTTAGAAATATTATCGACTTTCGACTCAATGTCGCACTGATTTTCGTGGATTTTTTTTCTGTCCACGGGAAATAGGGAACCTTTTAAAAAAAAGATCCTCCAGGGGCTTTATCCAGTGTACTGTGCACAGCGGACTGTCAGTGTCTGGAGCGGTAGAAAAGCCTGTATTATTTATTTTTATAGAAGTATTATAGACTATAATTATAATTGCAACGACTTATATTATAGACGTACACAATGTCGGCCATTAACGAATTAATAAGTTAAAGTTAAGTTAAAAAGTGATTTATCTTAAAAATTTAATTTTTTTTGAATTATTAACTTAATTGTTAATTCTAGGAATAGTTAATTTTTAATTAACTAGAGTTAATTTTATATTTAAACAAGTTAAGTTGATTTCAATTTCTGTTTGTATGCAAATAAATAAATAAATAAGTATATTATTATTAATATACTATGCATATTTAATATTTTGGTTAACTTCTAACTTAATTGAATTGATGGATTATTTTAAATTAACTTTTAGTTATTTATGTTATTTATATTTATGTTTAACTCAACTGAGTTGAAAAAAATCATTTACTTTAAACTTGATATTTAAAAATATTGTCGTTTTTTTTTCACGGCTTAAATTGTTTTACCCTACCGGTCAACATAATATTACTCTGATAATATAAAAATGCATCTAGAAATTTTGCAGCTATCACCATTGAATCGTCTCCTAACAAATATCTCCTAATATACAAAGCGGACTATCATTCTGTCGCCCACGGCAGGTTCTATGCATAAAAAAAAATTTATCTCTAGATATTTCACTGCAAGACGTTTTAACCATCCAAAAGGATTATTAGTAGGTACTACAAGTGGCGCCGAACGTATATATTAGGTGTAACGGCAGCCACATGTAATTAAAGGGGTGGATATACCTCCTAGCATTGGTAGTTGAGTATAAGGCATTGTACATTTTACAATTAATATAAGGGAGCAGTAGACATAATATTACGCGAAATGTCATGAACTGGTGGGAAAATTCGTATTTTGTTAGATAGTTTTTATTATATAACCAGCCAGGACCATGTGAGTCTGAAATTATGCGTCCACACGACCCACACTGATCCCATTTAGCACTATTTCTCTAACAAGCTATCGCTTGACTTGAGGAATGTATTGATTTTAGAATAATGCAAAATACCCCTCGATTTGTTGTGCAAACTTAAGTTTAATAAGAAAAAAGCCCATATGATCTACAAAAAATCTAGATCGGCAACCGATTATAATTTTTCTGAACTACGTGCTAAATGCAAACACGTTTCCAAATTAGATTACCAGACATTTATTAATCAAACTGAACTCTCCCTATCCAAATACCCAAAATTTTTTTGGAAATATGTAATGGATCTAAAACAACATGGAGTACATTTCAACTCGTTCCAACTCAACCAAATGTCATCATCTTGCCCTACTAAATCCGTTAACCTGTTTTCTAAATATTTTTCATCAGTCCATAATCGACCAACGCCGTCTCTCACTCAGAATTAAATTTGCCATTTGATCTACTTTCTTCTTTTTTTATTTCACCTAAAGATACACTGGCCACTCTTGAGACTCTTAAAAACAATAATTCTAATGGAACCGAGGGCATTTCTGCTCGTCTGCTCTTTACCTGCTGTTATTCTCTTGCATTCCCACTCTTTCTATTATACCGATGTGCTTTTGATAATGGTGTATTTTCCGAAGTTTGGAAAACTTCTTCAATTATCCACATTATTGGAATCTGGTGACCCAATTTTAGTTGACAATTATCGCCCAATCTCTATCTTGCCGCACATAGCTAAATTATTTGAAATAGTAATTTATAAAAATATTAAAAGTTGTTTCAACCATATATTAATTGATAAGCAACATGGCTCCTTTTCTGGAAAACTATCACTAGTAGTGTTATTTTTACAGCATTCATTGCTTAAAGTCTCGAAGCAGGTTATCAAGTCGATACCATCATTACAGATTTTAGAAGAGCTTTTGACATTGTCAGTCACGATCTTCTAATTAGTGAACTGAAAATCTTGGGTATTGGAAATCCACTTCTATCTTGGCTCATATGTAATTGGAAGGAAACAATTTGTATCAATATAGGGCTCCTCTTCTGAATTGTTTGAAATAACCTCTGACTTTCCTCAGGGCGGCCACTTAAGCTCATTACTTTTTTCACTTTTTGTAAACTCTCTTCAAGGCTTACCGACGTAAACAAGTAATTAAAGTGAGCACAATCATACCCTGCATCATATGCTCAGAGCTACAAATAACAATTAGTCCTTAAGCCATTATTTTACTTCTTAAAATCCAACTAACCATAATATATGTATACAACTATTACAGTACCTTAAATAATGTCTGTTTATTTTTTGTTTTTACTTATTTGTGTTACCATAATTGTTATCTTATGTAAAATTACCATTTTGGCGTTTGATAAACAATAACAATAATGATATAAGTTACAAAAAATTAATGCAATAACTAGCAATAGTTTTATTTTGTTTCCAACTTCTCATCTATACTGATTGGCACACCCATCCTCAGTATAATTTCTTTTTTGTTCCAATCGATAAATGACAAGGGCCTTTTTTTGTAGCCTTCTGGATTTAAACTATTTAGTTGGTGAATAAGAAAGTATTTTTATGATTTCTTGTGTAGTTTTCTGAATAATTGAGCATACCCGGAAAAAAACGTAGAAAAAAAGTTCATTATTTTCAATATTATTTTTTTGTTCGATTTCAGTTAAAAATATTTAAAGATTATTTTGAGTCGTAGAGATTTAAAATGTTGACAAGAAAACTTATATTTGCCCAGGGTTTATTATTGTGTGTTATAGAACACACATTGTGTAGTAGCAAAAGACCAGTGTGCAGTAGTAAATTCGTGTGTGTGTTGTTACTTTGGAAATCAATTAAGCGATAATTTTCGTATTTTGACACACAAATATTAGATAATACTTTTATCAATTTTCATAGGATCAAATTTCGTATTATAATATTATAAAAACTCCAATGCGGTCACAATTTTTTCCAGACAAAATTCAAATTGTATTGCATGTGAAAATGAATATGCCTACAAATGAATATAATACTCTTTCAGCAATATTTTACCGGTTTAAAGAAAAACCGGTATTCCAAATCATACCCCAAAGCAACTTGACAAAATTGGTTTAAAGGTGTGTTTCCAGGAGCTAGTGAAGGAAAAGCAGTTGATACAGGAATTAATATTGATACAGTTATATCATTTTAATATTTATAAGATGTTAAATTTACATTTTGTTTTATTTTTTTTTATTAATATTATTTAGAGTATTAAAAATATTTAATAAATGAAAAATTTTGATATAGATAATTTTATAACCTCCTATCTACTTTTTAACACCTTTTATATCCGATCATTTTTTTTGAACGATATACCGAGCCATGGGAGGCTTTGCCATATATTGCCATAAAAAATGTCAAAATATGTGCGGAGGTATCAGTTTTTTTAGGAGGGCTTGTATTTGCCTTTTCTAGATGTCGTAAAATTGTCTATAGATTTTGTCGATTTTTGAGCTATTTATAAGCATTTTATGTTTACGTTTTTTTTACATAGTTTTCATGTGCTAAGTACTACGTGGATATCATTGTTTGATATAACATATGCGCAGTAGCTACGCCCCCTTAATATGTTGACAACATACCCGTTTCAACACGAGATATAGGCTCTATCCATGGCTCTAACCATGGCTCTATCCATTGTATATGATCCAAGGTTTGACTAGACAGACATATTTAAAAATTTAACAAGAGGTTCGTTGTATTTTGTACTTAGTTTAAAAAAAAAAAAAAAGTAATGTGCTATAGAGTCATTCGGTGATTATTACTCAACACTCAAACACCAAACGTAAACTACTTAGGTATAGCCATTCTTCTTCTCCGTAGTTGTCGGCCTTTAAAACCATAATAAAAAATATATGCTATGCCATCTTACCCTGTCTGAAGCTAAGACTCGCCCCTATGCGTCCGGTACAACCTGTTTTACATCTATCATCACCCGATCTTCCCATATTAGCCTACAGGTCTTTTACCCACCGGAGTACCACATTGTATCAAGTATTTGAGTGAGTCTACTTTGCGACATGCGTGACAAGCCCACAAAAGCCGCCTTTTCTTTATTTCATCCACGGTATTTGGTTTTCGGTATATCTTTTTTAGTATTGGTTTTATATGTTATGAGTAGGATGATTTGGTATATTCCAAAGCCTCAGCTCCATGGAACCATCATCTCCACCTCACTGCTCCACCTCCTCCACCTCCTCAGCTCCACCTCACTCTTTAACCTCCTCCACCTCACTCCTCCACCTCCTCAGCTCCACCTCACTCCTCCACCTCCTCAGCACCACCTCTCTCCTCCACCTCCTCATTTGTCCACCACGTACTCGACCTATTTAGACCACGCCCATTATTCCAAAAATATTTTTTCCGTATTATCGAGTACTTAGACGATCTATATTTTCCCCACCCTCTTTTTTTTTCTACATACACTACGTACTCGACTTACTGTAATAACNACACACTCACACACATACATATATATACATACATACAAATACACAAACGCATATATATATACATACATACACACATACACACATACACACATACATATATATACATGTATACACACACACACTCACTATCTCGTAAATATTTTCCCCAGTCCATCTCTTGTGACCGTTGATAACCTGTAGTATTTTTTGTCTATATATCTTTCTCTTTGATATTATTTCTTTCCGCCGCGATATTATCGTAATAATTATTTTATGCCGGTATATAATATACCCAATTAAAACCTTTAAGATTAATATACGCTCGTGACCTTTTGGTGAACGTGCGCGAGGACAATAACAACTTCAATCGAATATCCGCCCGCAATAAAACCAATACAGCGGTATACCCTTCGTAAATAATATTGTTTAACACGTATTTTTATTCGTGTTTTACGTATTTTTCTTTTGTTATACCAGCTATCATACGCGCACCGTCAACGACGATAATAGTTGTCGATACTCGAGATTTTCATATAGAAACGCGTAGGTTATCATATATAATTCGATGGCCGACAAACGACTGCTCCGATTGATAATTAACTATCGATCACAATATTCGAAAGGCCTATATAATCTACCCGTGAATACGAGTATCGCTCAGTAGAAATTCATTCACAAACTCACCTACACGTTTCTTACAGCTTCGTCTTAAATATTTTATTTTATACCGATTTTATAATTAGTATTTACTTATTTTATTTTAACGTTTACGTCTAAAATAAATATGTTCGCATGCACGTTCGTCGGTNATATGATTCGTCACGTTAAATCCCACGAGGGGATACAATTTCAATGTGCTTTTTGTCCGAAAATATTTTCACGAAAATATAATCGCGCTATCCATATTAAAATTTCTCATCACCAAGGAAGAGTCGATACAGCTGAAAATATATTTTCTTGTGCTGAATGTGAATGTAAATTTAAACGAAAAGATAATCTCATCCGTCATATGAAAACCGCTCATAGTAAGTATTATATTTAAATAAATCAAACATGAGTTTACATTTTTATTATTTAGTATTAAACTGATTTTTGAATATTCATTAGAATTATTGGAAATCTCTGCTCCAGCGACTGATGACGAAATTTGTATGGCTGCAATGGATGATTACGAAAATAAAGACCTGATGGATACTACGTCAAGTTAGTTTTTTTTTTTTTTTTNTCCGACATTACACCGGTTGTCAGACGGTTTGATAGATTTTTATAAAAAATTTTTTATTATAAACGTAACATAATAAATGTATTATATTTTTATAATAATTTTTAGTTATATTTTATTATACGAATATATATATTTATTATATATATTTTTATAAATATATTTTATATATTTATCGAATGTATATATTTTTTTTTAATTTAAAGATTCATATAAATCTACCACCTATGGAAAACGTGTTTCATCCGCCAACACAATGTCGGCTGTTAGAGCTAAGAAGGTGCCTATGAATATTGTACAGTCTCCAGGGTTTATAGAAATCTCTTCCTCGACAAACGAAAAATTGTATGGCATTACACTAAAAATACTAATAATCACCAAAACTTCCCTGTTTTTCTCCGATCGGTTAAACCAGCTCTAACTAATTTATTGAAAACACGCGTTCAGCTTAGTCCAATCAAATTTAACTTGAAGCTCGAGGCAACTTATTTCCAACCACTCATCGAAAACTCTTCAGAGAATAGGGCCTTTAAGACATCAGCGATAGAAATTTTTAAAGAGTCGGATTTTGCAGAGATTATAGAGACATCCTACATGAAGTTAGTGAGCGAAGAAGAAACTTATAAGAGTAGAGGAAGTGGGTTTACGCTCGAGTCTATAGATGGTTTATTGTTAGCGGTGTATAGGTATACACCTTTATCAGTCTCCTCGTATATCCAATTACCCTCATACCTTGAAAACAAACGAGCCACAATAAACCCTCAAAACACTGATCAGCAGTGTTTTAAGTGGGCTATATTAGCAAAACACGTGATGGGGCACTCGGTTCATCGTTTAGGAGAAAATTATTTTAAACACGAGGATAAATATAATTTTGAGGACATTTCATTCCTCACACCACTCGCGGATATTTCAAAATTTGAAAAAAATAACCCGTACGTTTCTGTAAATGTGTACGGTTTAGAAAAAAAATTTCATCCTCCTCGTAAATATCTGTCTTATGAAGTTTTCCCGCTACGCGTTTCCGTTAGTGAAAAAGTCAACCATTTCGATCTGTGGAGCTGAAGAGGTGGAGGAGGTGGAGCAGTGAGGTGGACCTGAGGAGGTGGAGGAGGTGGAGCAATGAGGTAGAGATGATGGTTCCATGGAGCTGAGGCTTTGGAACATACCAAATCATCCTACTGTTATGATATGTCCATAACGCGCATGGAATAATTATTTCGATATAGAAGTCTGTCGTACTTGTCAGTGCGGTAAAAATCGAAGAGAAATGCATTCAGGGACAGCACACACGGCATTTATGATATTTTATAATGTCACGCGACTCTTATATGTCGCCCGAACGTTCGACATGAAATTGCTAACGAAATGTTCAACGAAATATGTTTCCGGAGTTCGCTTACAGGTACGTTTAGAAAGTCAATATTGTTATTATTGTTATTAGCCGCTGGTCGGAGATTCGGCCATTCGCGGGAATATCGTTCGCGCATTAATTAATATAGTAAAATATCGTATAGGCAAATCCGGATTAAAATCGAAGAAACACAACTGTTGACCCGTTTTGTGTCTCGTGCACGGTGCAATTATTAGGTTCAATAGAAAATAACCAATTATACACACGCGCGCGAGCGTCGCGCGTGTCTGGAACGCCTACGGCAATCGCACGGTTCTCTGATCACGAACGCAAATGACATGACCGTACCTACTATATAAAAGTGGCCGATCACCGAGTAGGAGACATCACAACCCGATCGATTGTCGCCAGAGTCCATACGCACACGCGAAGTAAACCCATTGGTGTTGCGATAACGTTGTAAACATCGTAACCGTATACCGCGTAACTCACGAGCGAAAAACATGTCGCCGTCGATCGCAGTGCGCCGGGTATCGTGCGTTTGCGCCGCTGTCGCCATTATGACCGGCGCGGTCTCGTCCCTGCCGGCGACACAACTCCAGCGGCCGCAGCGTGAAAACGGTCCCACGGCCGCCGGCGGGGGATCCGGCGTGGTCGCGTGGTCGGCGTTGGCCGGCTGTTTCGATCCGCACTCTACCGAACCGGCCACGGTGTGCTTAAAGTCCAAAGCGCTGACCGCCCTGACCCGTACGCTCCGCAAGTCCACCGTGGACATCGCGAACGGCGTGTCACTGGCCGCCCGCGCGGACGCACCTTTGGCCGACCCGCCGACCGAAGAGGCCGACCGCGCTGCCTTGGACGCCGCCGAGGGCCCGGAACAAAAGAACGCGCTGCTGGACCGCATGATCGGCGACCGGTTGGACGCGCTCGTGTCTACCAAAGCGATAGTTTTGGACGGACCGACCGGACAAGAAGGTGAGTGGTTTCGTTGCGACCGAGGTCAGCGACTGCAACTGCAGTAGTTAATTATTACTGCACGGACGGTACGCTTTTCGAACGACGACCCTAGTGACGGACAAATAATTTTGTCATGATACAATAATACCACACGGTACATAAACTTTTTTTTTTATAACCGTGCAAACATAATATAATATAATATGGGGTGATTTTTTGAGCATACTCATTACGTTTTAACGGTTAAATTATTCATTAATTCATCTTCTAATTTCTTATAATCTTTAAGTGCAGTGAACGATGATAGTTTCACAACATTTAAGGAGCATCCTGAAAAATACTTTGGTTTTTCAAATTAGAACTTACATGTTTGGACGCAAATTATCAATCGGATTATTTTCTTGAAAATGTTAAGGTATTTTAATCGAAATTCGAACGATAAGTTACTGAGTTCTTCTCAAGGAAAATTGACTTTAATGGGATTGGACACCGACTGTTTCATAGGAACTGTGTATAGTAAGTTTTCTTGTTTTGAATTGTGCAGTTATTATCCTTTAATATTAGTAGAACAACTCAGAAACTTCGTTCAAATTTTGATTAAAATACTGTTCAGAAAAATCATCTGGTTGACAAGTTGCACTAAAAAAATATAGGTTCTCATTTGTAAAATCAAAGTAGTTATTGCCACAGGACACTCCTCAAGTGTTGCGAAAAATCTAAGTATTGGAAAATATCATTTTTCATCATAGTTAAAAAATCCACACAGCAAAATTTGTATTTGTGCGTATTTTAACTTTACAAATATGGTAAGCATTTTTGAAAAAACACCCTGTATTTTATTGTAACTAAATAACGAGGTGATGAAGGGGATATATACACCTCATCCCCCTCCCGTTTGAAGGAACCTGGACGACCCTAATGGCCCGTACGTTTGATATAAACAGTTTTCATTTTTAATAAACATACGTCTTATAGATAATATCGAAGTTTACTTTAACTTTGGGCGTCGGGCTAAATTTATCCAAATTACACCGTACAATATTACTGCCTATATATTACGCAAACCGTATCAATTTAAACATCAAAACCACCACAGGACGTACGTCGACGAACGCAAAAGTTTTTTTTCCAGAAAAATGTTGAGTGATAAATAATATTAGGGTTATAACAACTACGGTCCTAGTAACTTATAGATTATAAATGACAGTGGTTTAAGTGGGAGAAACTTCGAAAGCGGGATTGCGTTTATCGAAAACGAGGGGTGTTCCCGAAAACTAACTAAACCTAAACAAATTTTCACGAAACTCATCATGGAGACAATAGACTTCTGAAATGTTTTTCTCTCGCGCACATTTGTTCATAAAAATGTTATACTCAATGGGTTTAAAAATAAATTGAGCCCCTTTCAAATATTATCCTACGCTTATGTCAGCCTCACTAAAACTACATTAAAATATAGCTTTATCACGTATTATTTACTAATTTATTATGATTTAATTTATTTTTTTACACGACTTCAAATTTTAGATTCTAAGCGGAGCGAAGAAGCTTATAGTTTTACAAAGATGTTTTTTTTTTTTTTTTTATTTGTGAACAACTTTCCTATCAGATGACCTGCTCAGATTTATAAGTGTAGCGCCTTTTCTGAAAGTAAATCGGCGCGGGGAAGTACTTTAAACAGATCATTTTTCGATTTTTATTCCGGAGTTTTCTCATCAAATTTGAAAAACACAAAAAAAAAATGGGAATATGTACGAAATATATTACTGAAATATTACGATTTTTACTTCCTGTGCACAACTTTTCTACCAGCAATTTTCCTCCAACTTATAATGATAGCAATGTTTCTAAAAGGAAATATCACTAGGGAGGTACTTTAAACAGGTCATTTTTCGATTTTCTCATCAAAATTGAAAAACGAAAAAAAGCCGGAGGAAAAATGGGAAAATATTAGAAACGTAGGTATTAGTTAAAATGTATCGTAATACATTTATAGGCCTTCTTTTTTCCTGTGAACAACTTTTCTACGAGTAATTTTCCTCCAATTTATAATGATAGAATTTATGTACAGATTATCAGCGTGAGTAAAAATGTATCTATTACCCTGGTTACTGAGTATGGGCCGGGTAGAAATTTAGTATTACGACTGGTACCGGGTAATAGTCGAGACTTAAATATGACATCGAGTACTCGGCCATCGTACCCAAAACATCTTTAAAAATAACGAAACCGTTTTTTCCGTAAATTTTCACGTTCCCATTTACGTTTTTCCCGGTTTCGCCGGACTATTAGGACGACTACACGGGCAATCAAAACACGGCTTTCTTATTTACCGAAATTCAACAGGAAAGGTTTCTTGTCGTTTTTCGATTGGAGTGAGATTTCTAGCGGAAAATAGAAATCGTTTAAATCCGTAAAATAATGAAATCGTTAACGCCGCGGCGTGTCGTCAATATTCATTCGTTTTTCCTGCATGCCCCGTTCCGATTTTTCGCCACAATAGGAGTGAAAAAAATAACCTCACCGGCCAGACCCTGAACGCGACCAAAAAGGTCACTGGTCGTTTTTGCCATCGGAACGAAGTTTCTCCGGTAGAAACGTAAAATCGTTTTCCACGGCACACGACACACGATTTTCTTCTCGGCAAATGCGGGTTGTCGATCGTCCCGTGTGACGAAATGCAATATTATTGTTATTATACCGTGAAAATAATACATTTTTCGGTTTTGTTTTTCCCGGTCAGGTCGCGGCAGGAGAAAGCAACAGAAGACCATGCGCCAGGCCGTGATGATGGCCAGCGTGATGATGATGGCCGTCTTGGGACCGATGGCTTTCAGCGTTATCGCCTTGTTGGCCGGCAAAGCGCTGTTGGTCAGCAAAATCGCGCTGGTCCTGTCCGGTCTGATAGCGCTCAAGAAACTTTTCCAGACGGAACAGGGCAGCGGTCACTCGGTCGAAACGATTCCGCATTACTACGACCGTAACTTGGACGTCGACGCTCACGCAATGGCGTACCTCGGCCAACAGCAGCTGTATAACAGTTGATTATTATTATTGTTATTATTATTATTATCGATCTATCAGATGCCTAACAATTGTTATTTATTAATTGTCCGGAGCCGAATCCGTACCGCCAGTGTAATGTCGAACGTCGGTCGTTGGATTTCCGATTTAGAAAAATACACCGTTATTTATTTATTTTTAAAATGAAATCGCCGAACGTGTTCTTAATGTTATTATTGTAATGTCTGTGGCGCTGTGCGTGTAGTTGACGCTACTTGACATGTAAACAGTTATTAAATTATAACAACATTTTATTATTTACGGTGGCGGCGCCAAACCTAATTTAAGGAGTGGGTGAGGAGCAGCAGACGTGATATTACGAATAACGCAAACCAGTATTCATTTTCGCGGGGGCGGGAGTGGGTGGTCGGAAGGTTTTTGGTGGAGCGAAAGGGGTAAGGTGAATTTAGATTTATGAGTAAAATCTTTAAATCGTTAATTGTTTAACATTCATTTATAGGCGACGCACATTGGAAATCAATTTAGACTTTTGTTAATTATGTATTTGAAAACACTTTACTTACGAGTAAAACTCGGAAGTCATTGCACTAAAAAAACATTAAAATTGATTGCATTATTGCAATAGAAATATTCAAAATAGCATTATCGCCGTAAAAACATCTAAAATTGCTCTTAAATATTTCAATAAATTATTTTACTTGCCAAACGAAAAAGCGATGCATACAATAACACTGAATATGCCAACCAAATAAAGGCATCCCAAGATAATGAGGACAGGTGCAGCCATTGTTATAGATAATTTAATGTGTACCTGTAAGTAACGATAAACCATTGCTTACGAAAAAACGATTCTGAGTGGAGTTCAGTTGATAGTGATGTTTTATAGTAAAATAATTAAATAGGCTTTATATATTTTCTTTAATAATATTTATTTGTTTTTTCCCAATTTTCCTACGTTTTCCCGATTTTTCACATTTGCTGGGAAAATTCCTGAGAAAACCGACAAATTACCTCTTTAAAGTACTTCCCTAGTGAAATTTTCTTTTAGAAACATTGCTATCACTATAAGTTGGAGGTAGAAAAATTGTCCACAGAAAAAATAAAATCGTAATATTATACAAATATATTTTGTTTTTTCCCCGTTTTTCTTCTGTTATTTTCGGTTTTCCACATTTGATGTGAAAGCCCTTGAGAAAATCGAAAAATGACATTCTTAAAGTAACTCCCCACACCAATTTTCTTTCATAAATGATGTCCACAAAAAAACCAAAAATTAACCATCTTTGTAAAACCATACGCTTCTTCGCTCCACTCAGAATCTAAAATAACCAATATATTTCTCGCTTCGCTCAGAGTCTAAAATGTAAATAAAATATAATTTTCGTTTTTGCTTCTGAAAGTGTTGCAAACGAATTTGAACGGTTGTTAATAATCAGATAACGCGGGCGGTCGATGCACGATAAATGATGTCTTTACCTTATTATTGAGTATAAATATTAAAAATTGTATTATATTATGTATCACATACTCGAAATACTATTTACTAATACGTATTATTGTTACTTACGAGCAGTAGAGTGTTACTCGTTATATCACTTTGACATAGTTCAAAAAAAAAAAATTAACTCCCAAGTGCGAGTCCCTGGGCAACGGCCGTGCAAGTTTCCTCCCCCTTATGACCGCTCTTGCGGCCATGCCTACAAGTGTCAAACAGTCGACCGCCCGCGGACACCAGCCCCCATTGCCTACCCCGCAATAAACGGGCCTCTGTATTAGTAAACCTGAAAATACACCCTCAAAATCTAAAACGTAATCTTATGACGGGTTGAGGGGGGGGGGGGCCTGAAACGACGTTTAAATAATAAATCAACCCATCTCCCTCCCGAATCTACGCAACTGTACATGTATGAAAATAGCTATGTATTTAATGCTCAATGTGCTAAAATAAATGCACACATTTTTACCTCGAATACTGACGTGCTATCGCTTGTTTCTGGATAGTCTGAATGTAGACTCGATAAACAACCAATGTTGTCCACAACTAATCAGTAAGTTAATCAGCGTGGAGAACGTGTCATTTGTGTTTCCGATGTCACATCGTGCTGGTAATCCGGAAACCACGGACTCGGTTTACCGTTTATTTTCGAAATCCTAAAAACCTACGCCAATGTTTTCACAACTGCACCGTTGGCTATCGTCGTATCAACGCCCATCCAATACGGTCCTACTGACCGCAATGCGATAAGAATATTCATTATTTCAGGACGAGCAGTCGTGCATGTTTTTCTTTAATGAATATTTTTCGAAGAGTTTGAAACGTATGACACGATATTATAACACGTGGAAATAACGAATGATTTACAATTTAGTAAAAACGTTAGGAACAATTAATTTTTTTTTTTTTTTTTATTGCCTCGCACGGGTAAAACACGTCGTGTTCTGGTCGCGGACGTTTGATTCGGGGCATTCGCAACACGAAGAAATGCGACGTTCGAAACGCCCGCGATTTTCACGGTGGTTTGGTTGCACGCCGAGCGCAGGTACCAGTACGATAACGAATAACATAAAAGCCGGCGGTCGCCGAGCAGGGAACATCACATCCCGACCGACCGCCGCACAGTCCGCATTCGCAATCGCCCGTGTTCATTTTTTCGTTTTGTTAGCCGCGTAACCACCGACCGGACGTCAATCGCCATGTCTTCGCCGAACGCAGGGGTTTCGTTCATTTGCGCCATCGTCGTCGCCGCGGCGTGCGGCGCCGTCGGCGATGTTTCTTCGCTGCCCCGGCAACGGCAGCATCCACCAGAGCTGGACGGCGGCGCAGGGATCGGCGCGGCCCTGTGGTCAGCGGTGACCGGTTGTCTCGGTCCGGACTCGATCGAGCCGGCCGCGGTGTGCTTCAAGTCCAAGGCGCTGACCGTCCTGGACCGCACGCTCGCCGAGTCCACCGCGGCCATAGCGAACGGGGTTTCGTTGTCCTGTCGGGCGGGCCGGTCCCCGCAGCCGGACCATTCGCTGGCCGCGGAGGCCGACCGTGCCGCACTAAATGCCGCCGGCGACCCGGACCGCAAGAACGCCTTGTTGGACCGCATGATTGCCGACCGGATGGACGCGCTCGTCGCCACCCGGACCATCGTTCTGCAGGACGGGTCGGTCGTACAAGAAGGTGAGTAACTGTGCGCGTCGGTCGACCGGAATAACACTGCCGTCTCGTTGTTTCGTTGACCGTGCACGACGCACGACTTGGACGCGGCGAGCTCAATTATTGCTTTGGACGCCCGTTTCCCACCGATTCCGAGCAACGATCATTATAACCGATATCTCAAATGAGATGCATAAGTACGTTCACAGAACGATTTCATATTATTGTTCAAATTATAAAAGATAATATTAACGAGTTTCCCCCTGCGCCCGGTCGGAAACCATGTCCACCTTTCCGGGAACTTTCCGTTTTGGCGACTAATCCCTTTCCCACATAAACCCTCCCCTCCCCCTTTTCCCTGCCACTCAGAAGATTATCCTGTCAAAGTCGAAGTGTCCGAATAGACCTTCTCGAGCGGTCCGATGTTTTGAACGAATGCAATTTTAATAATGTTATTACAGTGTTACATACTCGTTCAATTCGGTTTTATACGCTTCGCACGCGGCGTTGATAACACCAACTGATCTGGTTTAATTTCGGCAGGTCGAGGCAAGAAGAAACAACAGAAGACGATCAGACAAGCATTCATGATGGCCGGTTTAATGGCCGTCGCCATTCTCGTGCCGATGGCGTTTAGTTTTGTCGCCTTGTTCACCACCAAGGCATTGTTGGTCAGTAAAATCGCACTGGTCGCGTCCAGTATTTTGGCGTTCAAAAAACTCCTCCAGCCCAGTAAGAGCAGTGCTGGAGGTGGTCATAAAATCGAGATCGTGCCGGAACCTCATTACGTTGCTCACGAACCGAATGCTCACAACACGGCGTACTCGAGCTATGCGAAATAGTCGATAATAAATATTAAAATACCTTATAAAAATATTGTACTTGTTACTGAGCGCTGTGCGATTTTTTTCATATTTATTTATTTATTTTTAATTACATAGTTACAGTATCGCGTGTGTTACACGTTATACGTTCACGTGAACCAACAATATGTTTATGTACTTAGTAGTTTGGCTAAAAAAAAAACTAAAATTATATCAGCATAATGTTATTATGCATTTAAAAACAAAAGTTAGTTCAGGTTAATACATTCGTTGTGTGTTCAAACGCTTTCTCGAAAGTGTACACACAATATATTATATTATAAGTCAATAATTTATTTAAAATATAACGTATTTATTTATAACATATTTATCGGCATTTATTCTATTTATTTATACCCTGCAGTATATGTTTGATTTATTTTTAAGTTTTCCTCTCTTTGATAATCTACAAATAAAATATATAAATCCATAATAAATAGAATAACAGTAGGATTAATAACGTTGATCACATTATACCGAAAATCAACTCGTCACTATGAGCAACAAAAAAAAAAAACCAAATTTGTTACGTTACTTATTAGATACTAAATATATACTGCTCTCCTAAGTCAAAATGCAGTAAATAACTAAGTAGTAGTCTGAGAAAAATTACTTTATCTATATATCTATATATCGTCTTGTTATTTTCTTCACATTTTTAAAATAAATGACTAATAAAATTATTCTTAAACGACTTTTCATCCCATATAACCTAATAAAACTTATGGATGGACTCTATAATAATAAACGGCCAAGACGATATAAGTGGAAAAAGACGTCTTAGGATAAAGGCATCCCAAGGTAATGAGGACAGGTGTAGCCACCGTTATAGATAATTTAATGTTTACTTGTAAACAACGATAAACCATTGCTTACGAAAAAACGATTCTGAGCGGAGTTCAGTTGATAGTGATGCTTAGTAAAATAATTAAATAGGCTTTATATATTTTTTTTAATAATACTTATTTATTATTGCATCGATTTTCTCAGTTTTCTCATGTTTTATCCCGGTTTTTCACATTTGTTAGGAAATCTCCTAAAAACATCGAAAATTAACCACTCTGAAGTACCTCTCCAGTGAAATTTCCTTTTAAAAACATTGCTACCATTAAAAGTTGGAGCAAAATTGCTAGTAGAAAAGTTGTCCACAAGAAAAAAGAAAATCGTAATATTATATAAATATATTCCGTACATTTTTCTGTTTTTTTTTCGGTTTATCGCATTTGATAAGCAAACTCTTGAGAAAATTGAAAAATGACTTTTTTAAGGTACCTCCCCGCGCCGATTTTTTTTCAGAATAGTCACTACACGTAAAAATCAGAGCAAGTCTTCTGGTAGGAAAGTTGTCTATAGAAAAAAAAAAATAAAAAAATATACATCTTTTTAAGACCATAAGCTTCTTCGCTTCACTCAAAATCTAAAACCTGTGCCTAACGATTTGCCGAGCAACGTTACGAAAAGAATATAATGATGTATGGAGCTAATAAAATATATAGACAAAACTTCATGACGTAATAAATGATCATCAGAAAATTCAGAAGCGTAGACAACATTTTTTATTATGTATATATTTATAATTTATAAGATAAACCTAGGGGTAGTGCCTCCGCACTACAAAAAATGGCTCGATTTTAATACAATAAAAATTATTTTTCAAATTTTATTTCAGTTTTTCTTAAAAAATAATTTCTATTTTTCGTGACTTCTGTGACATAATTTCAAGAATCTTTTCAGGAGTATAGGTACTTTTCGATGAATCGATAACAATGTTAATCCATTTAGTCAAGGCTGAAAAATAAATATATAACTGAATTAACCTTAAAGAAGAAATATAATTATTTATTGTCTTCCTTAAGTATATTTATAGCCTTTTTAGACACAAAAACTTCATTTCGGGTATTAATGTGGACACCGGTAAAGTGCATAGAATTTTAAGAAGTTGATAAACATTTGAAATCATTGAGGAATCATCTAGTGTCAGTGCATCAATAACTATCGTAGGACGTTTATTTGTTAAATTACGTTCATATAGCCAGAAATGTAACTCTGAAATTACTGTCTGAACATCAAGCTACAAATTATAAAATTCTTAAAATTCTTGAAAATCAACGTTGTTAGAAAATACACCATTAAAAACCTAAACAACGAGTTCGCACTTCACAAATCGCGTTCAAATACATAAACGGTTTCGGTGAAATATATTATTGTGTATGTTTGATAACGGTAATAAATTGATAATATGATGTGTTCTGTACAGGCAGGACAATAAAACATATTTTGTTCGCCTACAGCTATCGGTTGATAATGTAACATCGTGGCATTCCCGTTTTCATCAGTGTGTCAAAGAATTGAATAACGCTCCCAATCATTTTATTGTATTATTTTATCTCAATCAAATTGACAATCATTTTTTTCTGCTTTATATTGGTATAAAGTATAAACTATAAATTACTAAGTCTCCAAGTCTATATTAATATCAAAGCTTACACTAGGGTTAGTTTCTAAAACATGTTTAGCAAAATTTGAATCAAGGACAGTCTTTTTAAATTTTATTTCTAAAATGTGTTCTTTATATTTTATTTTAAAATTTTTATTTGTCTTACCCATGTAGAAATTATTAAAGTTATATTTAAGTTTATATATACCAGTATTTTCAAAAGAAGGGCGCTTTTTGTGAAGATTTTAGTTTTATTGTTTATATGTTTGATAAAATTATTATTAGTCTTAAAAGCCATTTTTACATTATTTGTATTATTGTATTATTGAATTCGTTAGAAATATTATTTTGATATTTCATACTACAATAGTTAAGTTACATCTAATAGTTAAATTATTTGGTGAGTTGTGTAATATTTTTTCTTTAATACGTGTATTCATTTTTTTAATGGTGTTTTTAATTCGTGTTCTACAACAGCTGTTGTGTGATTGAACCAGAGACAAAACCAGAGTAATCGAAAGTAATAAGAGTCAGCATTATAGAAAAAAAAAAAAAAAAAACAGGTAAGTCAACTGATAACCAAATAAGTTTTGGATTAATATAGGTACGGGCATAGGCGGGGTTAATAATTTAATGTGACATTATCGCGTTGTAGTTACTACGTTTTAAAATTTCAAAAATTAAATTTAATCCGAGTTTTATACGTCGTAAGAAGAAAAATTACTTTTTGAAATTAAAAACACGTTTTTCACAGATTGAAGAAAAGATATTTTTCCGCCTTTTTTTTTATCATGTGTCCCCTACAATTTTATCCTGTTATGTTTACCGGTTAAAAAATCAATGGCGATGATAAATTCGAAATAAATGATTATACAATTTTAATTTGATTGCGTCCAGTCGATCCCTTCTCGTGCCATAAAGTAGTTGAAATTTCACGAATAAAATAACAACAGTGTTAATAATATGCGATAGGTATGGAACGGCAAAACGTGTTCTTTAAAACTAATTGTAATTAACCGCGATAAAGAACCGTAAACAAATATTCACGCATACCTACCAACGCGTAATTCATTATGGATTCTTTTAAACATACACGCAGACATAATAATGCTATAACCCAAATTGGATTTGTTCAAGTTTTAAATACCTACCTACTTATCTGATTAACAGTGTGTGTATATATGTGTGCATACATGTATATATATATATATATATATATATTTATACTTAATATAAATTTATATAAAAAACAATATGTGCGTAGCCATAACCATAATTGTCCATTATTGTGTATCGGATTGCGCGTACATGGTTTTTACGGTACTCTGCGCAAAGTGTCTACGCGCGTGGACTTATAAGAACCCGGCCGGTTTACCGGGGATCGTCAAATCCGAACAGACCACGGTGGCGCGCGCACTTTTACAATATTGCCGTATACTCGCACGTTACCGGAATAAATCACCCGCAGACATGACGTCTCCAGACACCGCCGTCCGGTTTTTCCGCGTTACGATGGCCTGCGCGGTCGCCTTTGCGGTCTGCTCCGTGCGTCTAGTCACTGCTGTGCCGGAGATGCGCCAGCAGCAAGAGGAAGGAGGCTTCGGTTCGGTCTTGTGGTCGGTGCTGGACGGTTGCTACGACTCGGACTCGGCCGAACCGATGGCCGTGTGTCTCAAGTCCAAAGCGCTAACCGCGCTGGACCGGGCGCTCGCCAGACCCACTGTGGCCATAGCGAACGGCGTGGCGCTGACCGCTCGCGACAGCAAGTCTTTGGGTAATCGGCTCACCGAGAGAATAGATCGTGCCGTCTTGGACGCCGCCAGGGACTCGAACCATAAGAGCACCCTATTGGACAACATGCTCGCCAGCCGGATGAACGAGTTTGTGTCCACCAGAGCCATCGTGCTGGACACATTAGCCACCCAAGAAGGTGAGAACCGAGTTTGTGACATCACATGTTAATGACGTATTTTCTGGGTAGAGGAGGGATCCATAGTTCATGACACTCATGTACCTGGGCGTTTTTTTTTTTTTGAGACGGTTCGATATTGAATATGCGTACATGTTAATTCGATCGTTTAATTGTTTAACTACAAATAACTACAATTTACCAATAATCAGTTTTTTGGTGTGATAAAGTCTTTATCATATAGATGCGTTGCCTTTACCGCGATTAATATTCAGCAATAACTTGAAATCCTAATAGCACAACTACACGGCTAAGTATAGTACATTTAATTGCTATGTTTACACATATTGCTTAACTAGGCTGCAGGAACAATTACCCGATTTGATTGATTTTGTCGGTTTGGCAATGGTTTCGGTTCTGACAGGTCTGGTACCTTTGCCATCCTCCCCGGTCCGCTTTCCAAGTGTGCCGTCTCCAATGTTTTGCGGATGATATGAACATATTTATGAAGGTTGACTCCCTCGATGATTGTAAAGCACGTCGGAATGATTTTGATGACTGTCAAACGGGGGAAATACCACGGTTTGTCCCTAAACGCCAATAAGTTTAAATCCACGTCTTACAGCAAAAGCCGTCATCCTATTATATTCACACAGTCTATCAATGATTCTAAATTCCTCTCAATAAACATCGTTCGGGAATTGGGTTTCGTCTTTTTTATTCCTAAACTTACTCAGCATTCACATATCGTCTTTTAAACCCAAACCCGTGTTAAAAACGTATAATGGCTGTTGTCGAATTGCCCGAACTCTGCTCTCTAGACATTTAATGTTATCGTTTGTATTTTTTGTTTTTTATTTTTTTTGTTTCGTCGTTCCCGGCAGGTCGCAGTAAGAAAAAGGACCAGAAGTCGATGTTTCGAGCCCTCATGATGGTCGGTATGATGGCCGTGGCAGTTCTGGGACCAATGGCGTTCGGGTTTGTCGCCTTGTTAGCCGCTAAAGCCTTGTTGATCGGTAAAATTGCGCTGGTATTGTCCGGTATCATATCGCTCAAGCATTTCTACCAACCTCAAAAGACTGTACCACAAACACATCATTACGATCGCAGGATCGAACTCATGGCCAACAACGGAGCGTACCAACTCGGGCCATCATAAGCAACTTCTCCAGAATAACATCACCAATAACCGAATATCAAATCGCCGTTTCGACCACGGAAATTATTTATTTATTAACTATTTATTTATTATAACGTGTAATATTATTGTTTGAAGTGATCTGATAACATACTAATATACATATACAATACAAGATGATTCGTCATTTTAAAATTATGACGGAAAAAATATTTATTTTAAACCCCGAGTTTATTATTTTAAGATATTATAATGTTAATGAGATGAGTGTTCTTTTTTTTCACGGAAAACATTTTTACGTTTAGTAAAAATGGCGTCCACGAACTCGGTCTACCCATTTTAACCAACCCACTCCAAAAATATGCCGAAAACTAGCGAGTAATTAGCAAATAATAGCAAGTTGGTTTTCAAAATTACCAAGACATTTCTACATTTTGTATGATTTATTTAAAATTAGATGAACCAGGTTCAGGTAGCCCATTCACAAAACCTAATCTACTCTAAAATTATGCCAAAAATGACGGTCATACTTCACACGATGGGTGGGCTACTGTTGTAAGTGAGAAGTATAGAAGGTAGCGGAGGATCTTAATGTACACCTATATACATTGATTAATCATAGCTAATGAAAAATAATTTTGAGTGAAGTTCGATTAAATATGTTTTGAAAGGCCGTAATATTTACAATTTTCGTCAAAATTTGATATTAAAATTTTTATAAAACAAAATTCTATATAACACTCAAATTTTTATGACCATAAAAATAACATGTATGTAACAATGAATCTCTTGTTAAATTTTCAAGCATTTCTGTTTTGCCTAACAATTTTATTCACAGAGTATCTACCAAATAAAAATTACCTAAAAAATTGCAAAATTAAAATGTCTCTAAATAGTTCAAAACTGGCTATAATGTTTTGAAGATTTTGTCACGTCTACAAAAGGCAAACATATAATTGTTATTCAAATTTCAAGTAAAAATATTTTTAGCTGAATTACAAAAAAAAAATCAAAATTAAAAACAATAAAAGAAATATTTTCGTAAATTTTCTCGTAATTTCTACGTTTTTTTTTTTTTTGGTTTTGTACAATTATTTAAAAAATACACAGAGAATCAAAAAACTGGTCACAAACAAGAGTAAAAATTCAACAAAAAAGGTCTCTTGTTGTTTTCTATTGGAGCAATAATTTTGGTAGAAAACATAATCCGACAAGGTTTTAAATAAAGGAATGCTACAGCCGCGCGCCGCGCCGTATAATTATGTTTTTTTTTTTTCGGCATTTTCCTGTTATTTTATATTATTACAAAAATTACTTTTGATATCACAAAACAACTTCCTCTATCAGTAGTTATATTATATTATAAGGAAAAAAAAATGATCTCCTGTTATTTTTCGGTTGGAGTAATATTTCTGGTAGAAAAATTAATTATCTATAAAACAATGAAAACAATAAAAATAGCAGAAGCGTCTCCAGACCTTGACTATGGGGGGGGGATTATTAAATTTAATATTAATATTATTGATAATAAATAAATGACTGACGTATTTCGCACGATGGGTGGACCACTGTTATTGATGAGAAGTCGGGAAGGTAGGATATTAGAAGAAATTTATATATGGTATCCGGTGAATTGATCGCAAACAATTTAGGATCTGTACTCAAGCAAATCTAAACATTGCCAACAAAAAACGATTTTGAGCGGAACTCGGTTAATTGTTTTGCTCAAGGAAGCTTTCGGGTCAATTTCATGGGGGAAAGGTAGCATGGTAGCAAGGTAAAACAGTAAAATTTTAATTTAATTGTATTTTTTTGACATTAAATAAATAATAATTAAATTAATGATAATATGAATAACAAAAATAATAATAATAATTAATAAAAGTTAGATAACCATGTCCAAAATACTTTTATTTTAAGCAGCGTTTTGTAAGCGGTTTGATTAATAATACTTTCTATATTCATGTTTTTATTTCGATGAACATTGAAAAGTGATAAGCCAGTTAGCCTCTTTTCATACTTTTTTTTTACCACTAAGTACGACTTTTAATGAACGTCATGTTAAATTTTCAAGCATTTTAGTTTTGTCTAACAATTTTATCCACAGAGTAACTACCGAATAAAAATGACGTACAAAACTCGCAAAATTAAAGTGTCTATAAATTGCTCAACAATTATACTGTGTCAAGAAAAGGCAAATATAAGTTTTTTGAAAAGTTTCAAATTTCAAGTCTCTACGAATGTTTTTAACTGAATTAAAACAAAAAACAAGATTCAAAATAATAAACGCATTATTTTAGTAAATTCTTCGGTTTTCCTTAAATTTTATCCTGGGTTTTCCTGATATTATGAAAATTGCTTGGAAAATCAAAAAATGATCTTCCTAAACTACCATCTTGTTAACATCATATTTACTTTCAAAAAAGGTGCTATACTTACATATTGAAGCAAGATTTTTAGTAGAAATTGTTTACAGTATTAAAAAAAAAAAAAAAAAACTATCATTGTAAATACAATAAGCACTTTCTTTACCATACTGAGAATTTAAAATTTAAATTAAAAGAATCATTTCCAATTTTGATTATAAAAATATATTATTTTATTATATCTTTGCAAATTGATTGTTTTCACTTAGTTTTATATAATTCTATATCACTCCTAAGAGAATATTCATTGAAATTTATAAATGAAAAGCGTTTTATTCTTGTTCCAATCAAAGTATTACCAAGATCCGGAATCATCTTTATGGCATTTGGAATCAATTGCATTTGTACTTATTTGTACTATGGATGTTTTTCAAGACAAAAATGAACATTACACAGTTTATGGGAGGGGGAGCGATTTTCTCCCTCGCTAATTCCCTCCCAGGGACGTGCCTGGAAAACAGTAATGCTTGGTCGCGGCGCAATGTAAATATTCATTGTTTTAACTATAATTTTATTTCAGTTTTACCCAATTATTTTAGAAAACCCCCTGGAAAATTAAAAACTGACCTCCTCAATACATCAATGAGATAAAATATCCTTTCAAAAAAATACCACACTTGATGCACTAGAACAAGATTTCTGATAGAAAACTTATTTACAGATAAAAAAACATAATTATAAGAACAATACATTCGTCTCTTCGTTCAAAATCTAAAAAAGCAAATAATTAGCGAACAAAGCTAGTTTGTTTTATAAGTTAACAAGCTAAATTACTATTTGCTAATCACAATTTATACCAGTTGGGCCAAGTTCAGGTGGTCTACCCACAAAATTATTTTTTAATATTTAATTTTAATAATATTAACCGTATCATGTCAGTTCATATAAGACGGTACTTACCTATATCTAAATAGCTACCTATATTTATTTTACATTTTATTTTTATTTTCTCACTCAATAAAACAAGACATAACAAATATAATACCATATAATAATTACATATGCATTATATATTTTCTTTAATAATACTTGTTTAATATTGTACCTATTTTCTCGTTTTTCCTAGGTTTTTCACATTTATGGGAAAAACTCACGAGGAAATCAAACATGACCTCCCTAAAATACCTTCCCAGTCAGATTTCTTTTCAGAAAAGTACTATCATTGTAAATCAGTACCTATATATAAATATAATATCCACACCGAGCTACTGATCATTAGTGCAACTGTATACTTGAAGTGAAATAAGGCCTCACACAAGTAATTTCGTAATAACGATGTCTATGAGTTAAACAGTTAAGGGGTCTATTTTGCTAAGGTATTTTCGTTTGCAGTGATTTATTGTTGTATACAGTCCAGACCGTAGCAGACAAATACTGTGAAACTATATAGTGTTTTGTGTATCTCTCATATCTAATACCTCTCTATTGGATGTCCCTAATTTTAAATTTTAGATCTGTGTAGAACGAGGAATATATTGGTTTTACTATGTGTATTTTTATTTAATTTGTTGTTTTGTATCTGTAAACACTTTTCTAGCAAAAATCAAGTACCACGAATAAGAAAAATTACAAAACATCTTTTTGTTTTGCATTTTGGCCAAGTTTTTTAATTATCAAAGTGGTTTTCAAAAATATTTACTTAAAAGTAATAAACTTAAAAGAAAAATAAATAAAATGACGATGTTAACGATTTCATTATTTCAAATATTTCTATCGATAATTATTTGCTTTTTCTATCAGAAAACTTCCATCGAAATTCAATTGTATACAGGGTGATCAATTCAACGTAGGACATTCATTATCCCGAAAAGTATTAACTCATTAAACATTTTTTTTTTAGAAAATTTAAGGAACAACCAGCTATAAAATGTTGCATTATCATTATTTCTGTCACTCTTATTTTTGGGAGTGAAAGTGTGAAACAACTATCTGCTTTTGATTTTCAGATAGCAACTTATATTAAAAATGCTATACATAGATTGAGTATTAATTTAAAAACATTTTAATGTTTAAACTTTTCATTTTCGTCAATCTGTTGACGAGATATCAACATTAATATTTTGGCAGAGGGAGAGTAATGGAGCATAATTTATGTGACGGCACGGCCACTCGGTGCTTCACTACTCTCCCCGCGCCTAAACATTTTAACATCTAACATTTTAAAATGTTGTTTCTTAAATTTTCTAAAAACAAATATGTTTAATAAAGTTAATAGTTTCCGGGATAATGAGTGTCTTACGATACAGATTGATCCAAGGCCTGACTATACTGTGTCCCCTGACACACTTTATGTTCCCTAAAATCATAATGTGTCACCTGAATTATAAATGTGTGTTCCAAGTTTTGCAACGTGTTTTTAGTTTAAAATGTAGAAATAACAAATCATCAATACAAATTAATCTTATTTATCTCAATATAAATTGATAACAACTTCCTTGTCATCAATATTATACAAATATACTTTAAACTTTAACCACGGCCGGCGATTATAAATATTATATAACCAAGATGTACTAGCTTTAATCGTGAATATAGGTAACGACTATACCTTGTGTTTATAAATATACTACTCATATGTACTCTAGGTAAGTAGGTAATCTCGAATTTGTGACAACAACTCATTATAGTTATTATTGTTCTGACGATGTATTCCAGTGGCGGTTTGTCAAATGTTTGACTTTTTTCAAAAAGAAAAAAATCTATTCTAGGATAATGGAATCGGGTGCAGTCACTGTTATAAGTAATTTAATGTATATCTGTAAGCAACGATAAACAATTGCTAACGAAAAACGATTCTAAACG